TGCAACAGGTTTGTTCATACTTTTCAAAACATAAAATAATGTAAGATTAAGGGATGAACCTTATTTTGACCCTAACTATCTTATGTATGTGTAAAGGATTGCTCAGGGACAAAAAGTGATATTAGTGTGACAGAAACGTTGGACATAGATATAAAAATACCAAAAACACAAAATAACATCGTAAAAATGAGGCCTCCACAGCGTCCAATTCTCTAAAATATCGTAGTTATACGACGGTAAATAACCACCTTACCAAACCTTACCAAAAAAAAACATCTACCAATCATAACATGGCAACTACTATGCTAGACCTTGCCATGGATCGAGCTATCAGTTGATGGGGATGGTTTACCGACCCTGTAAATCCATTCAAACTTCCTTGAAAGAAATGGAAAGACACAATTATAACATATATATATATGTATATAGGTTAATGGTTTTATAAGTCACATATAACACATTATAATGTTAAGAGGGTTATAATATTATAATGGTTTAACTCAATTTAAACTATATTATGATATATGTACATATACAAAACATTATCTAACCATCTCTTTAAATCCAATTAAACACTCTGAAAAACCATACAGCCATCGATATGGCCATGGCGCTCCGTCCCCCCAATCCTTGGAGCTTGGTGGCCCAACGATCTGCGGCATCTCCTTTCCGAAACGTCAACGAGTCAATGGTGACGTGAAAAACAGGTCCAGCAGGTCCGAAAAAAACCATATGATAACCCAGTGGTGTATAATTGTATAATATAACAAAGATATACAAAGCTCACATATGAAAAAGAACATATTATATTATATATATATTATAATGTAATAATATATATATATAAATCTAATTAACAAAACCAGATATCCCTCCACATAATGTTTATAAATAGATGAAATAAGTTGACACTGGCTGGAAGTTTATGGTAAATATCTTCAAGGGGCTTATAAGCCAACCGTGGGGTCATCACCCGCATACTGTTTGCCGCTTCGATCCTGATACTGGTCAAACTATCTCAAAATCGCCCCATAAATTGGCAAGGCCCATGTATATTTTTGGCAAGTCAAATCAGTCAAATCAGTCAAATCAGATCTTTAAGGTGATCAACGATATCTTTATATATCTTTAGGGTGATCAAATATGATTAACATACATATATATATATATATATATCATAATGTGGGTAAAACCATGCCATAAACCATTCCCCCAGTCATCGCCATTTTTATAGGTGGTATGTTTACCATTCCCAGTCATGGGTGGTTTATGACATTGTTTTAACCACGTTATATTAACATAGCTATGGAAAATGGCCCATTTACAAATGAGTTTCCCATTAAAACCTCCACATCTAATGGATTTTCCATAGCTATATTAAATAACCAGATGGTAACACACACACACATATATATATGTAAATAATGATATATTATATTATATATCAACATCATGTCAACCCGTCAATCCTTTTCGCCTTTTCGTCAGTCCCCATCCCAATGGCCGGGTTCCTACACCCAAGCTGCGGCGTAAAGCTTCGTCGACCTGACGCCAAAACCAAGGCTTCTGACGTGGGGTAAAGCTTCGTGGGGTAAACCAAACCCAACCATTTTATGGGGTTGGAATATATCACTCAATTATCACTCAATAAATGAATAGTGAAATAAATATGTTCTCAATTATCACTCAATTAATTATCCTCAATTTTATGGAGTAAACCAATCAGAATAGTGGAATATATCATTCAATTATCATTCCATATCAGTGATGTTGCAAGGTTGGAGATCAGATTTCTGCAGATTTACATCACCATTCGATTTGAACTACTAACCAAACTACCCTCCGGTAATCAGACATGGCAATGGAATTTCACCCATCTGTTCGACATTTGTTTCCGGCTATAAACCTCCATCTATAGGATTTTAAAATATCTGAAAGGGAATTTCCTACCATCTTTGGCTACCAAAGGGTATATCCATGAACATCCCATCAAATCCATTTAAATCCTCCATTATCCTCCATATTAAAGAGATATTTATATCATATAAATTCTATCCATCATGATAGTGCCTTATGATAGAAATATCTCAATCCCACTATCCTCCACATTAACCATATAATTTAAAATATGTATATCACTAATATGGTTAGTGATTTATATTTATATCTTGAATATCCCTGTACTCAATCACCATTTCTATCCATATTTCTATCAACCATATTAGATGATTTTTATCCATATTTATATTTAATGATTTAACCGCTTTCTTCAATATTGACCATATAATCATTAAATGATTAAATATAATATATATATATATAGATAGATGATTTATGTCCATATTAACCTTGTTATTAACATTTATTAACCATAGATAATTAACCATATAATGCCATAGTTAACATTTATTAACCATAGATAATTAACCATATAATTCTTCCATATTACCCTCTGGTAAACTAACATAACTATTGAAAATCACCATTTTTAATGGGAAAATCCACTATAAATTGCCATTTTCAATAGCTATTTTGACATAACCAGAGGGTAACCATAACCATATTATTAACCATAGAAACGGTGATGATCATCCCATCAGATCCAGCCCCAGCAATCACCTCCTGAAGCGCCAGCACTTCCAAGTCTCGAGCCCAGTGCCTGACAGGGCAAACATAGCCTCCGGTTATGACGAACAGTTTGCTATTGAAAAAGGTGATTTATAGTGGATCTACCTGTTGAACATGGTGATTTTCCATAGTTATGTGAACGTTTACCGGAGGGTATATATTTAATAAACATTATATCCTGGTTGGTGGTTTCAACCCCTCTGAAAAATGATGTAGTTCGTCAGTTGGGATGATTATTCCCACCATATGGAAAAATAATCCAAATGTTCCAAACCACCAACCAGTATTTATAGATATTTGGATTTAGCTATCAAACATCTGGACTTAACATTAGGATTTAATAGCGGTTAACTATCAAACATATGGACGGACTTCACATGACTTCACCAACACAATTGGGATTGAAGCAGCAACAATTGATGACAAGTGTGATTATACCAACGCAAATGGTGACTTAACGAAAAGAATTCTAACATGGAACCTCAAAGTTGCTTCCAAAATCATCAGCCAACATCCCGAATCGGCCAAAAAAAAATGTGGACGTGGGTTCGTGCACAACATGCGGGAAAATACGGCATGTGTTCACCTTGTTTTATATAATAGTTGTTCAAAGTTGTTTCATATTTTTTCAGTTTTCAGCTTTGACAAAAAATGTGCGCAACAGAGTGTTGGATCAAAAGCATTTCCTCCACCAAATGGTGCACAGCACCCAAACTTCGACCCATCCATGGGAGAAAATCCAAAGAGATACGAATGTTAAACCCATGGATTCTGAATGTTATCTCAAGCACCCGGCCTGGTAAACATACAAAAAGCTATGGAAAATCACCATTTGGAATAGGTACATCAACTGTTAATGAGCCATTTTCAATAGCTATGTTAGTCATAACCAGAGGGTAACATCTCAAGTCACTTTACTAACCAGGAAAATCCTGGTTCGAAAATTTCGCTGCTTTTCTGTTGGATCATCCCACCTGAGTTCATCATGCTGATACTCCAGCTGCAGAGTCTTCAAGAGCTCGTCTCGCCTCAGGCACAGAAATCCACCACCAAAAGGGGTGGTTGAAACCCTATAAATAAAGGGATAAACAATGGGATAAACCATCCATCAACTGGTGATTTCGCAACCATCCACAGTATCAACATATAGTGAATTACGGTGTTCACAGGCTACTGATATACTTTACCCAATGACAAATTAGCCTCAATGTTAAGCCAATTTTGGACTTAGAATGATCTTGCAATGGGTCCTCAAAGTGTGTAAGTTGATTTATGCTGGGGCGAAGCAGGAGTCACAGCGGATAATATCTGCAGTCCAATTGGTGAAACTAAACGGGGGGAGGCATTCGGTAGGTTCAGAACCCAAAATCGCGGGATGTTAAAATGTATGTTAATCTTCTTATATAATTGCATTATATACAAAAAAAATAGTCTTACACATGCCCCATAAAAATGTGTCGCCATCAAAAACATATACCCTCTGGTAAACTAACATAGCTATGGAAAATGGACCGTTTATAGTTGATTTAGCCATTCAAAATTAAAAATAGTGACTTTCCATAGCTTTTTGTATGTTTACCAGAGGGAGTTTGACCAAAGTTTGGTGCCAAGCAGCTCTTGGCGATCTGCTCCCAGTCTCTTGAGCTGCTGAACCCACGAACAATCGCGTTGTGCATAGCTGCCCTGGACGGGTTGGTGTCATCTCTGGAAGCCATGGCCAATCTGGACGGTAAAGTAATTCTGGAAGCCATGGCAGTTGCATACATCAAAAACATGTGTTTTAAACCTTATATATCCCTGTGGATCCAAGTGCCATTCATATCTCGTTATATGCTCATAAAATAGCAATATTAGGGTTATACTGGTTGGGGGTTTTAACCATCTTGAAAAATATTAGGCAATGGGAAGGATTATCCCGTATTCCAAACCACCAACCAGTTATATATGGTAAATAAGTAAATATATTCTTTATTTATCCAAACGTGACAAATGCTAATGGTACAATTCCGTGTTTTAAATTTGATCAACGTCATTGAAGTCCTATAAATCATCATGAGAATGTTCTTGAAATTTGATCCTGGCCAGTTTCACCAACGAGAACATATGGAGCTTTCCAAAGTCATAGGGGTACCCCATTTATCATCCATTTTGGTAGGATATGATAGGATGTTGCATTATAAATCAACCATCCAGCTATTGGCTGGTTGGTGGTATACCAACCCCTCTGAAAAATGATGGAGTTCGTCAGTTGGGATGATTATTCCCAACATAAATAATCCATTCATGTTCCAGTCACCACCAACCAGTTGGGGTTACCCCCATGACGTAGGAAACTTCCAACTGACATCGACCAGAAAACTCTACGATTCTTTCGTCGCATGGCTCTGATCGACTCACTGGGCCGAGAGCGGCTGCAAGGACTGGTAGCCCTCGGAAGAATGGATCCGGTCTGGGCCGTCCGCCAAGGGCCGTCCGCCGGCCTTGCACGACATGGCGAATCACTGGAGGTACTATGCGATATGGCGAAATACTATAAGAAATAGCTACTTTTAACAGGGGGGGAATCTGTAACTTGTGCTTTTCTGTTTCCAAATATTCCAGCGATTAGATTCTGCAAAACAGCAGGTGGCTGCCGAATTTCGACCCATCAAAACTCGCAACAGCTGTGGCATTCCTGAAGCTTCAACCGTTGGAAGCTGCTTTGAACCACACTTCCCCCGTTGGAGGCTGCTTTCTCAGGCAAAAAAAACAAGATGAAGCCCACGAACCCGAATGCTCACACGTATGTTAATGGTACAGATGTCAAAACACATGGTTATGCAGTGACGCACAATACCTTTCTGCAATAGTTTATTTGAACGGTCTTGTACATGTTTCCCTTGTGACCAGTCTGCAGTGTGGAGTGGAAAGTGTAGAGTGTGGAGTGTGGAGTGTAAAGTGTGGAGTGTGGAGTGTAAAGTGTGGAGTGTTGAGTGGAAAGTGTGGAGTGTGATGTGTGGAGTGTAAAGTGTGGAGTGAGGAGTGTAAAGTGTGGAGTGTGGAGTGTAAAGTGTGGAGTGTTGAGTGGAAAGTGTGGGAGTGTGAAGTGCGGAGTGTAAAGTGTGGAGTGAGGAGTGTAAAGTGTGGGGTGTGGAGTGGGGAGTGTAAAGTGTGGAGTGTAAAGTGTGGAGTGTGGAGTGTGGAGTGAGGAGTGTAAAGTGTGGAGTGTGGAGTGTGGAGCGTAAACTGTAGAGTGTGGAGTCTGGAGTGGAAAGTGTAGAGTGTGGTGTGTAGAGTGTGGAGTGTGGAGTGTAAAGTGAGGAGTGTAAAGTGTGGAGTGTGGAGTGTTGAGTGGAAAGTGTGGGAGTGTGAAGTGCGGAGTGTAAAGTGTGGAGTGAGGAGTGTAAAGTGTGGGGTGTGGAGTGAGGAGTGTAAAGTGTGGAGTGTAAAGTGTGGAGTGTGGAGTGAGGAGTGTAAAGTGTGGAGTGTGGAGTGTGGAGCGTAAACTGTAGAGTGTGGAGTCTGGAGTGGAAAGTGTAGAGTGTGGTGTGTAGAGTGTGGAGTGTGGAGTGTAAAGTGAGGAGTCTAAAGTGTGGAGTGTGGAGTGAGGAAAGTGCCACGCTTGCCACGCAAAACGACATGACAACCTGCTTGGACACATTCGAATAGGAGAGGTTTTGCGGCTTCCCCCATAGACACGGCGAAACCACAGGAAAACCAGAGACTCGAGACGAGACACGTGGGAGCACCAAAACGAGCATTTCGTGCGAGACATCCTCCAATTTTCACACTTTGAAACATGCCGAAGAGACATGTTTTGCAGCTTCCCCCATAGACACGGCGAAGCCACCATAAAACCAATGACGCGAGACGAGACAGGTGGAAGCACCAAAACGAGCATTTCGTGCGAGACTTCCTCCAATTTTCACACTTTGTAGCTTCAAAATCGACGTTTTCCTACGAGTTTTCCTTAGAACCTGAAAATTTGCAACCTCAAAATCGATGTTTCGTGCGAGGCTTCCGTCAATTTTCACCACATCGCACAAAATGCCACGCCTGCCACGGAATTTGCACCTTGTCGCCACTTGACGCAGCCCTGCCAATGCGACTTACAAAAAACACGCAACACTACACGTCTAAAGTGCTGCGCCTGCCACGAAAAATGACGATGGACACGTCCAAAGTGCTGCGCCTGCCACGAAAACTGCAACACATCTTGTGAGAACGTCGCAAAAGTATTGCGCCTGCCACACAAAACGACTTTCGACATGTTCCAAAACACCTCTGAATGTCACGAAGTGCCACGCCTGCCACGCGAAACGAAGCAACCAGACGTCTGAAACCTCCAAAAATTACCATCTCTGCAGAACTTCACATAGGCACGGCCATATGGTCCTCGCGCGGACGGTTGCGAACGGTTGCGGACGGTTGCGGACGCGGACGCAACGTCGAGCGAACACACTCCAACCCCCAGACCCCCAGAGTGAAACGGGAACCCTTGCTACGCATTCGGGAAAAACATTTCTGATGAATCAACGGGTTTTTTCCGGCCCAAATTGGGATGAAAAAGCGGGGCAAAAGGACCATTTCGGGGAACGCGCAATCCCTTACTATACGCATCATATAGCATCATAAATACGGTGGCTTGCGAAATCCACCACCAAAAGGGTGGTTGAACAAGTTGAACCCCTACAAATAATGTTACAAACAATGGGATTTCTATAAACCACTTACCCTCTGGTAATTTAACATAGCTATTGAAAATGGCCATTTATAGTTGGTTTGTCCGTTAAAAATGGTGATTTTCCATAGTTATGTTAGTTTACCAGAGGGTATCACCTGTGGATTTCGCAACCACAGTGAATCCCACCGGAGCCTCCGGAAAGAGCTGAACCTTGGGCGAGCGCAGCGCAGCGAAGGGGTGCTGCTCCAAGAGCTCCTCCTGGGACCGTTTTTAAGGTGACCCCAAGATGAACACTTGGTAATATATGGTTAATAGTGATTTAATAAATGGTGAATATAGGGTGAATAACATAATATCCATGGTAAATTATATGGTGATACTTGGTAAATCCATGAAAATATCCCAGTGATTACTCATATATGGTTAATAATAGTCATAGTGATTGATGATGATGATGATTAATGGTTTGATAGTTAATATTTGGTTAATATATGGATTGAAATTGATTATATGGTTCTACTGGGATAATCATGGGACAATCAATGGCTTTGATGGCTAATATATGGTTAATAGTGATTGATGATTAATGGTTTTGATTTCATTTCAACAATGTGATGATATATTATATGAGAAACCATGGTTCAATATGGATTTATATCTGGTTGGTGGTTTTAACAATCTTGAAAATATTAGTCAATCGGAAGGATTATCCCATATATAATTGAATATATATATATATATATTCATTATATTGTATATATATATATATATATATTATAATATATGACTCAATGGATAACAAACATCCATATATTCATATGATACTTAATGACTTGACTTCATGAAGAAAAAACGGAACATCAGAATGGATATTTTCATGGCATAATGGTGACTTTTGTTTTATCACCATGAAACAGGTAGAATTTGGTACATCCCCAGGGCCCCTTTTTGTGATGTTTTTCGCGTTTCGGCATCTTTTGGGGTGATGACAATAGTGATGGGGAATGACTGTGCATCCATGTGATCATTCTATACCAACATTTTATCACCTGAATATGATTATCATGTATTAATCCATGTGATGATTCTATACCAAAGTTCTATTTCCATTTTATCACAAGAACGTGTAATTTGGCACTGAAAAAACTGGATTAAGCATGATTAAGCGTCAACAATGACAGCTTAAACAAGCAACAAACATGTTGCGTTGTGGAAAAAAAAACAAGCCACCACAGGTGATCCCCCATTATGGGCGAATCCTAACCGCCACTGGGGGAAATTCGACATCCCAATTTCGCCAATGGATCATCCAGTCGAGAACCAGCCATTGGTATCCTGGTATCCATTGGTTATGTCTGAGTTTGCTATGAAAAATGTATGAACATGGCACATCTATAGGGGATTTACATGGATTTACCTATTACAAATAGCGACAAACGGCGATTTTCCATAGCAAAGCCGTAAGCACATTTTGCCATGGCCTGACTGGCTGGTCCCTTATCTTCATGTGCTGCAGGAGGCCCGCCGCACCAATGACCTGGAATATAGTGGGAAGCAGAAATGGTGGATCAACTAATGGTGAAACAGCAGCTGGTGATACATGGTAGTCCGATCACCCATTCATATTAAACACCCCAATTGCATGGTCCCAAAAAAAAGTGGAAATTCCCTACTAAACCATGGTTTCTAAGGGGGTGTTTAATATTAGGTGGACGGGAGTATATATCATGGTACAAAATTGTGTTTGAATGGGTTTTGAAAAAACATGGTATTTAACTTGTTTGAACTATGCATTTACAATGTAAGAATATGGGTAAACCATGGCACAATAGTATACAATAGTTGGTTTTAATGGGAACATGATAAGAATCAGGAGTTTGGGTTGGTCCAAACATATGGCACAAAAAATCGACCATATAATGGATTCGCAACACATAATGGTATATTATGGTGATACCATGAGATTCACAGAATAAACATCGGGGTGACTTTTGCAAAAAAATGGTGATATAATAATGGCATACGATGAGAAAACCAATCAAGACTAGGGCTACTTGGGTTTGTGCTCATGTGGGATGTAGCTCCAAACTTGTGATTCATAAGGCAAACGGGGTGATACCCTATAGGAATATATGGGAATATATGGGAATAATTGGGAATATGTAAAACATGACAAAACCTAAGGCTTCAAATCTAAGGTGCCAACTGCACAAGCCGTGCCTCAGTTTCAATCGCCTCCGGTACATGGGGAACTCCCCCAAACTAAATGGGGCATCCGGCAAGCTATGTTGGACCAGATCAACGGGAGATCTCCGGGATCCAACAGATGGAGGTACGTAAACATACCATATTTTTGGCCGTATGAATTGTGGGGATATTCCCTGAAATTTGCCTAAAAAATAGGCCAAAAAGATATGCCATCGGTTCCTGAAGATCTCCCATTGACCAGACGGCTGATCCCATGATTTCCTCTGATGGCCCTGTTGGTGAAACAGGCAAGGTATCCCTATATGTTGCGTTGGTGAAACTAAGAAACGGAGATGTTCCTCTCACGGAGCTGTGCGTGAAAAAACACTTCAAAACACAAAAAAATGGATGTCTTAGCCAGCCTGAGCACCAAAAAGGACCAAAAAGGAAATTTAATCCAAATATTCTTAGTGATTTTTCTTGGTGGTTTGGCGATCCACCCTTAAACATCCATACGCTAAAGTCATTGGGAATCATCAGCCCATTGAAACAATGGTTGAACGTGGTTCACGGGTAAAAACATGAGAGCACCACGTATATAGAGAAAAAACATATATCCAGTGGTTACGCATCATTCCTTGTATTATATTTTCATTTCTATTCCCCAATATCATCCCCATTCATCCCCCACATTTCTACCGTTTTTCTTCATTCCTGACTGTACCAAGCCACATGCGAAGTACTCCATCTTCCTTGGGCAGCAGGTGTTTTTCTTTTTTGTGGATACCGTTGCATCCTCATTTCTGCTTTGCTTCTACACCTCAAAGACTTCTTGTGATAATCCCCAACTAATGTCAACCCTGGATTAATAAACCCCAAACGGCTGTTTAATTGGGAGGGTACCATTTAAGTATCAGATAATGACTATTGGAGGAGTAACCCCCTAATTAATAAACTATGGTTATCAATCCTCTCCGTCGGTCAACTCAAAAGTTTCCTTGTCAAACTAATACTCATTTTGCCTCATGTATTTGCACCGTTCCTGGTCGTGCAAACCCTCACAATTGATTCTCGCAACATTGCAACATTCCGCAATTTCTCCCCAACCATGACCAATTTTGCACACCCAGAAATTCGGCATACAATGATCTAATATGATCTACATATTTTACGCGTCTTGCCAAAGATATCAAAGATTCAGTTGTGCCAAAACTACCCAATTCGCCAAGGGTTTTTCCAGTTTACCCAGGAACCTCCCACCGAGCTTCAACGCGCCCTCCGCGCCCTTTGCCAGGCGTGTTCTGAGGCTCACAGGCACTGATAGAGGCGACCAGCGGTAGAGATGACACACACCTCCGGTGACATCGGTGAAACAACCACCCATGACGGATCCATGGTGCTGGTATATATACTAAGATTTGGGGTATATTGATGGTAAATGTTACCATATATAGCATACATGGATCCTATGGGCCATGATGTTTGAAGGAACAGGTTTCCATTGTGAAGTGGATATAATTACTTAAGGATCAATGAATTGATCGACGTTTCCTCACGCGGATTCACCAAGCCTTGTTGTTTGGACTTCGGGGAGTTGCAGAACAAGGTTTTGATCATTCAATCGACGCCGAAAGTCTGCCCGTAGAACACATGGATGTTGCAATATATAAGTATGAGACATATGCGAAAATACAGTCAACAACCAAGTTAATAAACAATCTTATCAAACATCCCAAACTCCAAGTCAAACATCAACCTAATCCAATCCTATTTCTTTCACCATCTTCAAGCCATACCCTGATTTAACGTGCCTATTGAAAATCACAATGTTTAACTTCAATAAATCATCATGTGTTTCATCTATAAATGGGCAATCTAGTCTAGACTATTATAGCTTCTCTAAATGACTAAAGGGTATATTCCATAAATAACCCGTCATTACCCCTATTAAGCCTCATTAAACCCTATAAACCATATTAACTAACCACTAATATATCAACCATGAACTATTTTGTTCACAGGGTACCCCGCCTAAACCTTATGAAACCATATTCACTAACCATTTATATCAACCATTTGATGTTTTTTTCCATGCCCCAGGGGTACCCGGGGTACCCCAGGCACCTTGACTGCTCCCTCCACGTCGTCTTCCCCAGGCGTCCACCGTGTAGCTCCGCTTCGTCTTCGACGACGCAACGAAGGCCGCGCCGCTGTCGCGCCACCAGACCTGCGCGCGCTGCACGGCCTCGCGCGAGACCGAGGACATGCGACCGGTGAGGCGTAACCTGGGCGTTGAGGGATGGAGCTGGGGATTATATATATATATATAACATATGGATTATATTGATAAAATTTGGATGATATTGAATATTTATATTGAATATTTATTATTGAATATTTATAATATACATATACATATCGTGTATATCATATTCATTAGATCTTGTTTATCAATAATCCCTTCCCTTAATTATATAACACACACTCGAAACCCAAATATGTGTTATTATCCCCTGCTTACGGCTTACCATGGTTTCTGGGTGTGGGGTCGTAGGGGGGGGTGACCATATATATATATATATGCTAACATTGGGGGTATATTGATGGTAAATGTTACCATATATACCATACATGGATCCTATGGATAATGATCTAATGAACAACCACTGTGAAGCGCTCATAGCTCATCCATGCTCATCCAGTTTTGAGGATGCATTTCAATTCCCAGATGCAAAATGCCGCCAACAGTGTTTACAAGCCATGGCTTGTGACCCTGCCCCTCAGCCAAATCAAATCATGTACCATCATTGACCCATGTCTACCCCTAGATACCCAACCATCATAGAAAACATCTGGAAATATCTGGAAACAAAATTCCAGCAATAGTGAGATTCAGGAAACCTATCTGACCATATCTGACCTGTAGCCATAACTGCTTAAGGCATGCTGCCGATTGTATCAACCGAAACGCGACTAATACACATCAATATGAAACTACTATGTTACTTGAAACATGACAAACGACAAACCAGTCATCCCACTTTCATGGATGTTTACGTGGAATCCATTCCATGTAATTTATAAACATGTATTTTTTGGATATATTTATCCACATGTCTCCACATTTAATAATTATATATAATACTTTCTAACTAACAATAATTTAAAATAAATCATAATTACTAATTTTCTTTTATATCCTTTTATTCGTCTAAAAAATGAATATACCCTCTGGTTATGACTAACATAGCCATGGAAAATCCCTCATAAATGGATGTTTCTAGCTGGGAAAATCATCTTTTTCTATGGGCCATCTATAGCATGGCTATGTTAAATAACCAGAGGGTATTAAGTCCTGGTATTAAAATATGAAAGTCAGATTGGATCATCACCCCAATGATTGGCGAAAATAAACAAATGTTCCAAACCACCAACCAGTCCCAGTCAGAAGTTGTCACCATCCATCGCTTCTCAGCCTTCGGCATGCTTCGGCCAAGCCGCATTTCCGCCATCACCAGCTCTCGCGGGGACTCGGCTCCGCCAGGCGGCTGCATCTGGAGCCGCCGCAGCACGTGCCACATCTCTTCCTGGAAGAAATCCATGGATAGATGTAGAAATATAGAGAAATGACAAATGATAGAGAAATGATAGAGAAATGGATCCATGATCCATAGATGATAACAATGATAGATGCTAGATGATAGATGATAGATGATAATAGATGTATACCAACCCACCCCATATTCCCGTTATAATTACCATCATTGATATTTGCAGTGATGATCCATGATCGGCATTGAACCATCATCAAACCATCATGTTCCCATGATAAAAATCTTAAACCATGTCAATATAATATTGAACCAACATCCCATTAATATACATATTTATATAATAATAAAAACAATAATAACAATAATAATACCAATAATGAAAAAAATAATAGTTAATATAGTAATTAAATAATATATTATACATACACATACATATATATATATATAACATATATACCATGACATCATCCTCAAACCCATCTCCGTCCTCCACCTGCTGCTGAAGCTGTGGAAAATCCAGCTGCCTCGGCGTCATCCGCAGCGACCGCTCCAGGCTCTCCAGCTCCGCCAGGACACGACCTGGGAGCAACGAAAATACGGTGGATTTCATGGGGAGTTCATGGGGAATCTATGGGAATTTCAGGAGATTTCCATGGGAATCTATGGGAAATCTATGGGATAAATGGATTTAATGATGATTCAATGGAATCTCCTGGGCTAAAACTAACATTAGACAATGTTTCTGGATTCAATGGACAATGATCTACACATGGTGGTCCAAACCCTTGATCCAACCACAAATTTGCACCACCCCTCTGGTGATATTTGGAGGTGTCACTGTGAATTTGCGGTCGAGCTGAAAACCATGCTGAAGCCACAGCCATGGGAAATCTCCCCCAGGATCATCGAACCACAGCCCGAGAAAGGAATGGACACACTGAAGCCAGAGGGGGCCGGCAGTTGGTGATAAATGCGCGCTCATACTATCATATATGACACAAAATGATCCACCAGTGATTTCACTAACCCAAAAAAAACTACCATTACATCATTACCCCAGTTTCATTTCTAGTGGTTCTATCCCTTAACATGTTTGTTGGCTATTGGAACTTGACATGCAAATAGCTTCCCAATGGTTCGATCGTCACGTCGAGCCCGCAGAACTGCTGCTGGGTAAACATTGATGGCATATAATTAGTGCCTTGTGACATTGTGTTTCCTAAATTTGATTCAAATTTGTTCCAACATTAATTTGCAATCTTACAAATGGTAAAATTGATTGACTGACTGTAAACATTTGAATATTATAAAAATATAACAGTTTCAACCAATCGTTGGTAGTTTCACATAGGGCGCACCGAGGGCGATGGACAATTCCAACTTTAAATGGGACAATACACATACATACCTGGTTGATGGTTTCAACTCCTCTGAAAAATATGAGAGTCAATGGGAAGGATTATCCCATATATTGTGGAAAAAATGTTCCAAACCACCAACCAGTATATATGTATCATAAAAACCCAAGTGACTAGTATATAGTGAAAGTAGAGAGTTACAGTATGTAGACCCCAACTTAGCAATGAATCGCACAGTTCGCCCAAGCAGCCGCAGTTGTAATATCTCACGAAATGCGGATCCTTCGGCAGGTTCCAGCTGCTCGTGAGCTGTTCCTCCAGCCTGGGAAAGAACACTGGGTAGGGGCTTGGGAAGGTGACTACGGGATAATGTGGAGAAACATCGCCTCAGGCTACGCAAATCACGGTACCCTCTGGTAAACATACAAAAAACTATAGAAAATCACAATTTTGAATAGGTAAATTAACGATAAATGGGGTATTTTCAATAGCTATGTTAGTCATTACCAGAGGGTAAATCATGGTAAATCATGGTAAATCTATTGGATTTCAATGGATCCAACTGGTGAAATTTAGGCATTTTAGGGATACACTGCAGATTTTATAATTTACAATGTTCCCAAATGCTAAACATAGAACCCTGAAGGCTATTTAGATAGGAGCTGGTGCGCAACTGGGATAGATTCAAGCATACATCTCATTACTAGAGTGCCTCCAAAATGTCATGAGGTGGGATCCTGCGACGCCCTGCACACCCCTCTCAGTTCCGTGTTGGTCTCTGCCCTAGTATATGTTACTATCAATGGATCCTACCTTCACGGTCACTAGGGAATAGATCCTGCACGATCCCAGCTTTCTGTCGCAGTACTTGTGCGGGATTGGAAGTCAGCTGGCTTTCTTTTGTCACTTTTGTCTTGACATGTTGGGGTTACGCCCGTTAAGTCTGCAATATTTCACACTTTTTAACAAAATTGAATCCCACGATCCACCTATCCAATGAATATTTAGTATATATCCACTTTAACCCCCGTTGGATTTAGTGTCTCACGGTGAAGCCATGTGAAGCCCAGTTCGCAGTTTCTTGTGGCTCACCGGGGTTTCACCCAAACACCAAGCAACAGCACATCCACCACAAACATCATGGCAGCGTCCGCAAAGAGAAACTGCACCATGCGTTCCATCGCAGCATCGTTCCTGCGACGGAGCTTGGGGCCATCGTCCCCAGGGGGATTGGATTTCGCTGAAGCTGATGTGTTTTGTTTTACTCGGCCTGGTAAACATACAAAAAACTATGGAAAATCAACATTTAACTAACATAACTATGGAAAGATCCACCATTTTCCATAGGTAAATCCACTATTTCTATGGCCATTGTCAATAGCTATGTTAAATTACCAGAGGGTATTTGGAATATCGCCTCCCCAATTTGATGGACACCCAAATGTCCATGAAACTGGTTGGTGGTTTCAACCCCTTTGAAAAATATGAGTTCGTCAGTTGGGATGATTATTCCCAACATATGGAACAAATGCTCCAAACCACCAACCAGGACTTAATACCTTCTGGTTATGACTAGCAGTTCGCCATGGTATAGATGGCCCTAATCGAAATAGATGATTTTCCCAGCGAACGAAACCTCCATTTATTTTGGGGGGATTTTCCATGGCTATGTTAGTCATACCCAACTGTCCAATCATCCACGGATCCTTACCAAGCAGGTGTGACCGCCGAACTCCGGCACATAGAGCCTCAGGTGATGTCCGATCGACCTTCCGGTCATCAACCATGGCCATTATCCCTTATTGGTAAAGTATTCATGGATATTAATGGGACAAGCATCTATAAAATATCTATAAATCAGAGATTCTCCAGCAATCCACGTGTGATTATCGGAGGGAAAGATCCATCAATAATTATCCATTAATATCCCATTATTTAACTTCTTGCGCCATATGAAACATGAGAAAACCATGGTATCCACCATGAATCCCGCTGAATTATAGAGCCTTTAGGAGTCCGGGGGCTTGCCGGGCATAACTCTGCAGGAAAGACATCGAAACGGAACATATCTGCTGCATTTCTCTGCCCTAACTGGGTGGTTTCAACCCCCCTGAATACTGTGTATGGAAATCCTGCGCAGTATCCCATCCCATCAAAACTAATGTGTTGGACATCCAACATTAATGGGATTAACCTGAATACTCTTAATAGTAAACATCAGATTATGATTTATAGCTTTTCTACCGTCCCAGGTGGTTTTCAGATTTCGCAGCCATCCCAAGTGGTTTTCGGACCATGATCCCAGCATTTAAGGGATATCTACAGTATACCATTAGCTGGTTTTATCATGGCTGGTGGTGGTATCATGGGGATATATCCAGCTAATACCACCATTATCCAATATCCCACGAGATCATTGGGATATGAATCTTCCCAATTCATGGGATGATCATTGGGTATCATTTTTTATTGGGATATCTTATCCAATATCATGATCATTACATATCATCACCATGGTATTATCCAATGATATCCACCGATCATTATTGGATATTTGGTAGTTCCAACCACCATTGGTAATATATCGTATTATTCAATATCATGATCATTGGCAATATGTAATTGCGAGAGTAATATATTATATTCATAACATACCTGATGACAATTATTATAACATATTATATTGCTAATATTATATTTCCACCCCCCCAAAAAAAAACTTACTGGTGCTTAGCAGGGAATTTTCGGGAATGATCCATAATCACTATAATAATCATCCCAGCAACCCCCAGCAACCCATCCATTCCCTAGGTTTAGCACTAGTAAGAAAAACATGTATTAATTAATCCATGAGTAACCATCATTAACCACTATTAACCATTATTAACCATCATTAACCACTATTAACCACTATTAACCATTATTAACCATCACCAGTAAGTTATTTCCAGTATTGCCCAGAGACATTGAGATCTGGAGATTGGCCTTGATCATCTCCGAGCCGATCAAGGGCGTCAAGGTGTCGTCCTGAAGCGATTTTTACCGTTGCAGCGCCCCAGGTGGAGCGTTTCAGGGGATAGTTACGTTGTAGTTGGCATAAAAAAAAGCTGATTTTAAGTGGAGTTGATGTATAAGAATGTATAACATGCAAGTTGTTGGGTTTTAAGATACAAATGAATAGATTAATAAGTAAATAAATAAACACACACACACATAATTATAACGAGTTGATGGGTGTAGAAACCAGCAATCATCACTCGGAGCAGCACCAAGTAGTGAAATGGCAGTTACGCTTACAATCCCAGTTCTCTTGGGATATATGTGTTCAGTAGCTGGCTAGTGCATCTCTCTCTCTCTCTCTACCCCTCCATCGCCTTCAAACAAAGTCTGCCCGAGCAGGGCGGGGCGAGACAAGGCCACATATTTGGCACTGGCCCTAGATCTAAAATGAAACATGATGAAACCAACATGACGGCAAATCTGCAACAAAAGTGTATACATCTTCTCATTGGGAAAGAAAAGGATTAAACCACGAAACCCACGGTTTTGGTGATGGGCGCCGAAGTTGCGCCACGTGCTACGAGTGACCGAAATGGTGTCTCAGTTGGTTGGTTGCAAGCTGATAACCGCATCAACATTTACCTTAGCAAAAGCCAACTTTTTAACTATGACCGTCTATGACCCTATATAATCTATATATCTCATCCAATCCATACTTCACTCGGAAAACTGCTGCCCGGAGGTGACCACCATACCACCACTCGAAAAAAATCGCGTCCTTGGCGTTGATGAGGAAGGTGGGTGCTGGCAGCTGTTTGATCAAGTCATCCGAAATATTCCTAGCGGTGCTGTGACACCTGTGACCTCACCGAAACGTTCAATGCTTCAATGCTTCGACGCGAACAGCTTACGTGCCACGAGACCGAAACAAAATCAATGGATAACATGATAACAATATGATAATTCATCAACGTGAAAGGAAGTAATTTTGGGATAGTTACCCCTACTAACAAACTACTACTACTATCAATTGAGTGACGTTGCAGTGATTGTTGTGAGGTCGCTATGATTCCTTCAGAACAATGCAATTGTTTGCGAACTGTTTGCACCAAAATCCTGTGGTTCAAAATGAGTCTTGGACTTTCAAAGTCTGGTCATTGCTTTGGTGGTGTTGACCGCTGAACTTGGACAAGCGGAGGCAAGGAATTCGCATGGAACCTTGAAACAGATTCGTCCATCCACTGAATTTACCAATCGAAACTTCGCAGAGGTCGTTGAAGTTCTGGATGATGTCGGCTATATCCCAGGGCAACATAGACCCTGCCATGAGATGGGGGTTGGAAGATTAGTTTCTATACTTTAGCGTAGTTTGATCATTTTCCCAGCCATAAAACTACATGTTTTGCAGGATTTCCCATTTGTTCCAATATAATTTTCCCACTAAAACATCCATGTCTATAGGAAATTGTCCGATATGTTCCAATGATGTTCCCATAAAAAACGTTCACTTCTAGAGTTTTTGTTCCCATATGTCCCATTGATTTTCAAACAAATGGGTAAACATGCCATATTTTCTGATGGTTTTCCCATTGAAACCTCCAATTTTGTGGGGGATTTTCCAACTTACCCACCTCACTGCTTGGTTTCACCCGAGGGTCACGACGGCCACGGTCTTGCGGATCACCTGCTGATCCCATGAGCGGCCATCACCGGCGATCCTGACGTTTGATGGGTTTCTGTGGGCTTAAACCAATATTATATGTGCAAACAATTATACATATATATATATATATATATACATATATATATATATACATATATATATATATATACATATGTATATGCGTGTGTAAACATATGATATGCATTGGTATGCCAAGTTGTGTAGAAGTGGGGTGTTTAAATCCACCTATAGCCTACGATCGATCGATAGATAGATGATAGATAGATAGAAAGAAAGATAGATGAGGTAGATAGGTAGATAGGTAGGTAGGTAGATAGGTAGATAGGTAGATAGGTAGATAGGTAGGTAGATATGTAAATAGATAGATAGATAGATAGATAGATAGATAGATAGATAGATAGATAGATAGATAGATAGATAGATGGATCGATCAATCGATCGATTAAATAGATTAGATAGATGGATAGATCGATCGATTAAATAGATTAGATAGATTAGATAGATTAGATAGATTAGATAGATTAGGCAGATTAGATAGAAGATTAAATTCGATTCGATTAGATTAGAGTAGATTAGAGCAGATTAGATTAGATAAGATAGAAAAGTTAGATAAGAAATATAAGAACGACAAGAAAGATAAGATAGATAAGATAGATAAGAAAGAAAATATAGATAAGATAGATAATATAGATAAGATAGATGAGATAGATAAAATATATGACATGAGATAGATAAGACCGATAAGATAGATAAAATAGATAAGATAGATCAGATAGATAAGATATATAAGATAGATAATAAAGATAAGATAGATGAGATAGATAAGATAAATGAGATAGATAAGATAAATAAGATAGATCGTATAGATAAGATAGATATATAGATGAGATAGATAATATAGATAAGATAGAAAAGATAGATAAGAAAGATAATATAGATAGGTAGGTAGATAGATAGATAGATAGATATATAGATAGATAGATTAGATAGGTAGATAGTTAGATAGATAAGATAAGATAAGATAAGATTAGATTAGATAAGATAAGACTAGATTAGATTAGATAGATAGATAGATAAATAGATAGATAGACAGAAAGAAAGAAAGATAGATAGATTAGATAGATAGGTAGGTAGATAGATAGATAGATATATAGATAGATAGATTAGATAGGTAGATAGTTAGATAGATAAGATAAGATAAGATAAGATTAGATTAGATAAGATAAGACTAGATTAGATTAGATAGATAGATAGATAAATAGATAGATAGACAGAAAGAAAGAAAGATAGATAGATTAGATAGATAGCTAGATAGATAGATAGCTAGATAGATAGACAGACAGACAGACAGATAGATAGATCTTATACATAATCCAGTAGGCCCAGCCATTGACAGAATATAATCGGGATAGTTCGTGGTATTCCTAAACCTACTTCCTATAGCCAGGAACCGCTAATATTTCCCATGGCCCATCTAAGTGGTTTGCTCAACAAAACCTATATCAACTATAAATCATTAAATGTGTCCTACAACAACTATAAATCACTGTATATATTTATATTTACTGTATATATATATATATATGTATGTATGTATATATATATATATGTATGTATGTATGTAAGTATGTATGTATGTATGTATGTATGTATGTATATCCTTCTTAACCGTTTCCTTATATATATATATATGTATATAATTAAGTGACCTGCCTCATCCAATTCTCGAAGGCTGCCTGGCCCACTTTGGGCGCTGCAGCACAGAGGCAGAGCCGCTCCACACGCTGTGGGAAGCGCACGGCGTACCTAGCGCAGCGTGGGGAAGGCGTGGGGTTCACGAGGAAAACTAAGGGGATTTCGAATGATTTCACCATCAAAAAAACGAAGAAAATTGGGATTTAACCATATCTAAACATCAGAAATGGTGGTATAATCGGAATCTAACGGGATCCATGGATGTTTACCCAGAAACAAAGGTGTTTTTGGAGTTGATGTAGCTGATGTGTGGAATCGCAATAGGTTATCTTAACTGTTGGGCTGTCACTGTCGGTAGATATATCGAAGCAGCTAGATAGATTTAGAAATCATTTCATGAGTGGGATGAGGCACCACATTTCAGCGAGAAAAAAAACGCTTTGCACGGCTGTAACCTCAGTCATGCAGAATTGAAATGATATTCAACTAGTCAACTGATAACTTGTCATTGCCTAGCAAAAACAAATAAGGATACAATGTGATTGATTACTGATTATATAATTGCCATAGTCATTACAGTCGGTTTAATAGGAGCTTTATTCAACGAGCAAACAAGCAAGGGACGTGACCATCCCCTATAACATTTTTTTGGCGGACAAAATCCATCCCCTGTGTGATCGGCATCTCACAATCACCATGTTCCAAGGGAAGTAATGAAAAGTAGCTAAGTAGTACATGTCCGTTTGCATTTTTGACCCAAGGCTCAAGGGTGCTTGATGTACTTGCAGTGAGCATGCAGGTTGGGTACCCGTATTGGGCACGGCTACTCGACCCACGGTGATTACTAAGCACCTTATCGACTGAGCCTTGCATGATTTACACACCATTTTCGTTCAGTGATGTGCCCATTATGCCATTGATCTTCAATCTTGGATCGCATTTACTTTCACGAACCACCTACTGTCCCCGCGAATCTAAATAGGCACTCGGAACAATATTTGAACCGGTCTCCCCAAGCAACTTATGTCCCGCCCTGCCACTTTTGCCTCAAAGAAGATATATAAGCAAATCCAGCCATGACTGCGATCATTTACTTATCAGATTGGGCCCCAAATGTGATGTTTGTTGGTGCATGATCAATGACCCCTGTAAACATATGTAAATACTATGGCAATATGGTTCCATCTGCTACCAAAAAGATCCAACAAATTATATAGAGTTGGTTTATATAGAATTCACCTATATTAAAACATATTAATATGAATTCACCTATATTAAAATCCACAAGTAGCTTTCTCGAAACCGAAAAGGCCCTGCTTCCCTTCTGCCAAGTTGCTCTAAAGTGATCGCAGCACCCATGGAGTGCCCACAAATCGTGGCCTACCCATCCCGAAAAAAACGGCACGTCTGTAGGGACCATCCCCAACTATGGTAAAAAATAACCGATGCTTGAAACCACCAACGAATAACTCAATGAATATCCTGAGTATATATATATATATTTATATTACATATATATATATATAATGAATTTAGGCATTATAAATACTTGGCTTAGCTTTAATCATGGACCCCGTACTAATCGGGGTTTCTGAAGGGCGAAACTGAACCACCAGCAATAAGATTATAAAGGCGAATCTGAACAATCTATGATTTTAGAGATTATCGAAATGGGGGGTTGCTAAATCCTGCTCTTAATCTCTGTTAACTGCACATCTTCCGCAAGATTTCACCATGTTCTTTCGTGTTCCAACAACCGCCCCACTTTGGAGGATCATACCATTTCATAACTTCAGATAATAACCTTCCGATCATCATCAAATATCATGAATCCCCTATACCCTTTTGGTAATTTAACATAGCTATTGAAAATCGCCCATTTATACATGATTTTGCTATTCACATGGTGATTTTCCATAGTTATGTTAAATCACCAGAGGGTAAGTCCACTCTTCAAGTCCCCAATGTCCATGAAGACATGATTATAATGAATAAGTCATAGGTAATAATAATTAAGTCCTGCTATAACATATAAGTCCCTATCAAAGTCCCCTATAATAAATCCCCAAAAGGGTCCCCAATCCCCGGCTTCGCACGCTTCGCACCTTGTCCACCTGGCAATAGCGCCGGATCTGCTCCACGTCTGCCACAAAGTCCTCGATACTGGCGCTCCTGGCAAGGCAGTGGAAAAATTGCTGGGGATTTGACATGTTTATGAGATTTACCCTCTGGTTATTTAACATAGCCATGGAAAATCACCATTTTTAATAGGTAAACCATCTATAAATAAATAACCAGAGGGTATATGGCAAATGTGCATATATATATATATATATGGTTATATGCTTGTGCATATGGGGATTTAATTAATGGAAGTCAATGGTGACCAATGGCTAATCTTCCATAAAAAATTGGGAAATCATTTGGGATTGTTATACCAAAACCAAGAGAAATGATTGGATAATGGGCCAGATAATGGGAGATCTTCATGGGAATATAGCCGTTGGATCCCTCGGGTGATTTGTGACATGGGAATTGAATGGAATTGGGGTCTTAACCAACAACAACGAATAGTCTCATTGGACGAATTATCATGGAGGAATAATGGTATAGTTGGATATAGTTATAGTTATTGGCTTATATAAACCATATATAAAGCCCCATATAAACCATATATCAACCATATATCAACAGTTTGCTGCCAGGAAGCCATGGCCCATGATGATTTGCCTTTCTGAAAAATGGGTGGATTTTCCAGTTCGCTACGTTGAATTACCAAAGGGTAGAGTCGTTCGCAAATTGTTCGGAGATCTATGATGCAGCAATAAACATGGGATTTACAGGGGGGATACTGTAGAGAGATAGTTGCTGAGTTGTTGATGATTCAATATCAACATGTCGCACAAATCAATGAAAATGTAAGAGTTCATTCAAGAAAACAACCCCTAGGGATCCAAGAAGAGAGAAGCTAAGAGATTGAGTTGTTCCACTCAAATGTCCAACACATGTTGAGAGTCAATGGAAAAAAGGGAACAGTGGTCAACAGACCCAGTGATTCTACATCCAAACTTGCATGTACCATATTGTACCATATCTATGCAGCTTCACAACTCCCACATGTGCCCAAGAGCGCCCATTGCAGTGGCGTGGCCTATCAGTGGTCTTGGAATCTTCGAAAGACAGCGGGAAAATTTGGAAGATCTCGAGATTCTTGGGCAAATTCTTTCCTTGGTCATCAGCTTTTGACCCGCACGAGGACGTTGTCCTCTCATTTTTCTTCGATCCGTCATGACAAAATGAGCAAGAATTCAAGAACTCTACCCTCCAGTAAATTAACATAGACCCTGGCAGTCATCGGGGTTGGAAGATTAGTGGTCTTTGTCAATTTACCAGAGTGTTGTTTTCCCCACTTGGCATCACAATTTATAGCTTGTAGTTATCTGGTTGGTGGTTGGAACCCCTCTGAAAAATATTAGTCGATGGATGTCGATGGGAAGGATTATCCCATATATTATGGAAAATAAAAATCATGCTTGAAACCACCAACCAGTTATTTTCCCATTAAACCCCATAGACTATATAGATCATCATTGATTTTCAGTGTATATCCCCACTAAATCACAATTTATAGTATTATTATGTATTATTTATGTTGTAGTTATGTTCATTTATGTTCCCATTAAAATCATCAAACACCATAGATCGTCACTGATTTTCAAGGTCAACCAGTTAACCGGTAGACTTTCCGGTCAGAAGGGACGCCAGGATTGAAGTCCAAAACCAAAAACACGAGACAGCAGATTCTTCCAAAAACAACCATGGTATCATGATTATGGTATCAAATAAATCATATGTTGTTTGATTTTTATAGGATTATTTATGCCATTCTAAATCACATGTTAATGTACATATTCACCAATATTCTAATCATCCTAGAATCCTAGCAGTCATCCACCGGGATAGGGTTTCATTTTCAGCCCCATGGGGATCAAAAGTGACTCCCATTGAAAAACCACCAGCGAATACCCAGAAAAATCACGACCGAGTGCATCGCAAATCAATTGAGGTTGATGATGACAAATAAGCTACTAATAGGCTAAGTCACTGAAATTCAAATTGACAAATTCAAATTCAAACCTCAATAGGCCACCAATCAATAGCCACTTGAGCAACACATTCGTAAGCCAGCAATCAAATTCAAATTGACTTATGATTGACAAACTGATTGGTACTGGCAAACTTTGATCAGTTGGATGATCAGCCATCTGTTTTCAGCCATCTCAACGTAGCTTGTGGGCAACATCTGGGCCTCATGGAATCGGCGCCGGCAGGCACAACTCGACACAAGGGCACGCCCTTTCAGGCAATGTAATCGTTGCACACGGCAATATCAAGCATTGAACAAATATAATGGCAATCGCACCATTGAAATCATGGCAATGTCAATCACGGCAATATCAAGCATCTGGAACAATGTGGTAGCAATCGGCGCCGACTGCTGTACATCTGCCCAGGGCTCTCTTCTAATTGATTATTTAAATTAGTTAAGGGTGACAAACCAAACACGTCCAAGAAACCTCGCTTTTACCACCAAGGACATGTGTCTGCTCCTCTACTTTTGCTGAAACCTACTCTTGGAACCAAAATGGGGGAAACTTTCTGTGATGGATATATCCTGATATATACCATTGATATATCATGGTACTCATGGAAGCCCATCGCAACACAAGTCTTCCTTGTGCCTGCAGCCGTCCCTGGCGGCACCCCATTCATGGTTTGGTGGCTATATATGGTCATGGCAATCATGGCAACAATTAAATACTGATCGTTAAGATAAGCTCGGTCAGAGTGGAGCCTCCCTCACACTTTTCACTGGCCTACAGTAGTCCCATTTTCACCCAAATTTGACCACTCAGTTTTCTCCATCTTTGGCTATGTCCTTCCGTTTGGCAATCAAACATGGCCTTGGATAATCCCCCATGTGATGATTTCACCAGCTATAAACCTTCATTTAGGGTGGGAATTTCCCAGCCATTGTTGATTACCTAAGGGAACATGCATTGATATCCGTGATGATCTGTTAATGAACCATTGTTATCCAGTTATTATCTCCATATATCCCCATCAAACATCGTTAAACCATGAACATCATGAACTATAGTTCTATCCAAAAACCCCAAACGTTAACCTATGTCAAACTATAGTTCTATATCAACTTAGTTTCTAAATCAACCAGGGGCCTCACCTTGTTTTTGTTTAGTCCAACATATCCAAGTTTTGACCCCAACTGGCCCCAATAGAAATCACCTAGGTCAACCCCCAAGATGAGTATCGTATCCATTAAGCATTGAACATTTACCATAGATTTACCATAGATTTACCATAGGTTTACCATCCACAGGTTAACCATATATTATATATCCATTAGGTGTTCAAGCATTCACCCCATTGATTAACCATGGGTTTGACCATAGATTAACCCATGAAAAAACCACCCCCCAGCCCAGCGTCTGCCGAGCCCTTTCAGCTGGCCGTTCCGCGCGTGGAGCTGCACCGAAGCCAACTGGAGACCCTGGAACGATGCCTCGGCGTCCTGACGCTGATGGGAAAACTATGGCGATGGGGTTAGGCTTGCGATCTTGAACGCCCATGATAAATTACTATAGTTATAGTATATAGGATGTTATTTGCCCAACAACGGCCATTGATTCCATCAGTCGGCCATAGATTTGGATATATCCATGAGTACCCCACTGATTATCTCCCATTATCATCCCTACCTGGTTGGTGGTTTCAACCAACCCCTCTGAAAAATATGACTTCGTCAGTTGGGATGATGACATTCGCAATATATGGAAAAATAAAAATTGGGTTTCAAACCACCAATCATTGATATATCATATAAATATATTAGTTATAGAATGTTATAGATATAGATATATGATATATTTTTCATGTTCCCTGGTTAAAGGGCCATGGAAATGAACATGGGTGAAATTCATGGATTTTTTTGATGTACATCTCGGATACTGTTGATCACTGTTGAACATACATGATTTCACTTGGGTATGAGTCAAACCCTTGTAGTTCACATCAAAATAGCTAGTATGAAAGTGGATGTTCATCCCAAACATGGTACCTTCTGGTTATTCAAAGCGAACTGGAACTTTTGCAGATGTTTGGGAACGGTAAATCATCGTCATCGAACTATTTTTGGGGCCATGGCTTCCATTTAGTTAACTGCAACATTCATAACAAGAGGGTATATTCATGTATATTCCCATTAACATCCCAGGAATTATGCCATCATTATTTATCTTGGTGTTTGTACCAACAAACATAACGATGACCCAGATGCCGTCAACCCGTCCACCGGACCTGCCCATCCAGCCACGCTTGAAAGTTCTGCAGGTACGCCACCGCAGCATCCATCTCTTGGAAGACGCCTGAACGGACGCGTAAAGAGGTGACCTTAAAATACCATGGGAAGAATGATTGAAGATGTCAAAGGCTAAGGTTCTTTTTTAAGACTTTGATAGTCACTTGTTTATTGCAGTTTAGTACATTTAAGCATACCTGAAGTTTGCTGGATTTAAAAAGAGTTTCATGTTGTTTCCATGCTAGGAGTACTTGTGATTCATAGTGATCCCTTGGTGCCTGGGTGGTTCACGTCGTGAGATGATCCTGGAATCCACAACTAAAACACGGCGCCATGGAAAATCCACCAGCTATAGTTTCAAATGAGTCTCCCAAAATTTATGACCCCCCCATTTTCGAGAAGGATTTTCGAGCCAACCATGATTAACAGAGGTTATTGCCATAATGTTTAGTTGTCAAAACCCCAAATGCTCGCAAGAATTCTGATGGGGAAATCCCCATAGTTCAATTGGCTTCATGGTTCCAGCATTATCCCTAACCCGGTATTAAATCTTAAATAAATCATTCATAAATCCATATCCCATAGGATCTATGTATGCTATATATGGTAACATGGATCCCATCAATATACCCCCTTTATGTTAGCATATATACCAGCACCATGGATCCGTCATGGGTATTGAACCATGGTTTCTCCTATACCATCTGGTTATTTAACATAGCCATGGAACATCACCATGTTTAATAGGTAAACCATCTATAAATGGGCCGTCTATACCATGGCTATGTTAAATAACCAGATGGTAATCATATCACATGTAGAAATCCCATGTCCCGTTATCCCCGTATCAGCGCCTACGATCAGCGCCGCATTGCCCTCGATGGCCCAGCTCAGGGAGATGCAAAAGCTGTCGTTGTCCTTGACCTCCTCCAGAAACCTCAGCGCCCAGGCGCTAAAGGGCGCTGCAGGCGCTGTTAGGAGCCGGCCTTCTCCGGTGAAAAATGGGGTGCTCAAGAAGTGCTCATGAGAAAAGTTGGGTTTTATACAGCTTTACATGGTTTGATCAGGATTAATCAAAAAAAACAAAATAAAACCATATAGATATATATATATATATAATTATGTATATATATCTACTGTTTGGCTGGATAAATCCACTATTTATCCATAGATGTGACTTCACAGTGGATTTATCCAGCCACATTTCTCCAATGCGTCCGCCACGGCACAGCGTTGCGCCTCGCCATGGCGCCGCCCGCCCCGCTGCCAGCGTGACGCGGTGAAGCACCACAACGCGGTCTGTGCAGGGCACGTCCTGATCGCAACTGGGTTTAGTACAAAGGATCACCAGTTAAAGATCATCAGTTAAAGATCACCAGGGTTTATATCTTTTGTTTAGCAACATATATATACACCTAACATTGATAATCCATTTTCTAACTAGTTAACTAACAAATCATGGCCCATCGAAGTGTATATATATAATATTGATAACCAACCAATTGATGAGAATGGTACGTACGTATTCTATAAGTCTATAATGCATATTTTTCTCAATGACTCGATGGATTGAGTTGTTGAGGGAAACCTACACGTTTTTCACCATCCAAGTCCGGGAAAGTCACTCAGTTTCTTCGAACAAATCTTGATCATCCCTTAGTTTGAGAACTATGCATTGACCAAGAAATTTGGGAACTAGACTATACTGATATCGTCTGATATTATGGCAATATAATCCTAGGCAATGCATAGCTACAGGGAGTAATCCAGAAAACAAAAACTGGGAAATTGGAGCAGCATCAGCAACAACACATTAACACAGATGGAACATGGGGCTCATCTGAGGCTGCACAAACATGTAGGTCTAGAATCTTGAGAATTGGAAACATGTGCAGACTCATAAGATGAATCATCCATAATGGGCAAATTAGACCAGTGGTCAGTATTTCTCAAACTTGGACTGTCTTAACAACTTGGGATGGAATGATCTTACCCACCTGATTGAAAAATAACCTTAACAGCTATGTCTGCGAACCATCCAAGAGCCATGGAGACCATGGAGACTTCCATAGGTGGCATAGGTAGCTCCTCAAGTTCAGCAACCGGAAATCTTTGCTAAGGATCTGTGTGGAAGGAGGTCCTCATCTTGGCAAACTTGGAGGCCTGCCGATGGGTAGCATCTTCTTGATCTTCATCCCCCAAAAATGCTGTCCCAGAATACGTACCCTCCAGAAAAACAAACATGGATATGGAAAATCCATGGAAAATCCACTATGTGTAGGTTATTTCCTTCAATAGTTTGCTCTATCTTTACTGAAGGCTTGGCCTCCAGCTGGGTGCCTGCAGCATTTTTTGAAGCCGAGCCTTCTCCAGGAAGGGTTGTTTAAAATAGCTCAGCTCCTGGTGTCAGAACCCCACAGCTGATTTCAGTGATAATTGACACGGACCTATTTTTTTGGTGGGTGCTAAAAACCTCAATTTCATATCTTTCATGTACTAATGTAGTATACTATCTATCTAAAAATATACATCTATATACTTCCTTCTGACGTCTAATCAACCCCCCTGAAAAATATGGAAGTCAGTTGGGGTTAGTATTCCCAATATATGGACAAACATGTTCCAAACCACCAACCAGTTTAGATCTGCAAGAGCCGAAAAAAACAGGGCATTCCGATTCGATCCCCATCGCTGTGGCATCCTTCAGCCGCTCCGCGGGGCCCAAGAGCTCAAGGCTTTGCAGTTCAGCGCCCTCCATTGTCTCGCCTCAAACGCAGCTGGGACATTCTAATCCCATGAGGCATCATTATATAAATATCTTATTAAAGATCATTAAACCACTAAAATTACAATCACCCATTCTGTCACATGTATTGGTCAAACGGAGCAAGGCCCATTTGGTGAAAACAGCTGTTTTTGCTGGCAGTTTTTGGTGTTTGAGCACTGTTTTTGAGGGGATCAACGCATTACCAAAGAATTCGTATGTTTTCGTCCCATATTCTCAAGACAGTACTTAGATGGGCCATGGGATTAACGATTCCTGGTTAGTAACTGGGGATATAACCCCTATATCCCAATTATAATCCATTTACTAACTAGTTACAGTTAACTAACTCCATGGCCCATCTAAGTAGAATTGTTCCCACGGCTTGCCCGGCTCACCTTTCTATGTTTAACGCATGCTGTGGGATGATGCATGACGTTGCCTAGGCCTAGAAGATATCAGTTGAGGCCTCGATATAATCGTAGGATCTGACGATTGTTACCCCAAGAAATACCAATCATCTATTCATAGTCATTATATATATAAATAAATATATATATATACTTGGGGTAACAAATAGATGATTTAACAAATATATGAATGTACATATATATAGATATATATATATATATACACACTTGTCAATCATCTATATTTAATATATATATATATATACATTTTTTGTAGGATACACCCACAGAGAATTGTTCATTTCATGAAGAATCCGTTCTCAAGGCAGTACTCAGTTCTATCAGCTTGCGCTTCTTATCATGTCCGAATTAGCTGGAGGGCAAAATTTGCTTGGAGTCTTTCAGGTCTCTTTCAAATGCTCCATTGCATTGGATTTTCCATCTTTGTTCTTCTCTTTTGTGGCGTTTTGCAAGAAACTGATGTCCTGCAAATCCTTGTCTGTGACCTTCCCATATCTGCTGTCAGACGCACCTGTCACATGCACCCTCCTGTCAGACGCGTCGTGATCGCCATCTTTAGACCCTGCTGTTGCCGAAACGGACCATGGTTTCCACGCTGCCTCTGGTCTGATATCCAGTGCTGCTGTTCACTTTTGTGCTACCGCGGCACCTGTGACTTTGATTTTTTTTGACCACTCGATATGTACGCACCAACTCTCGCAAGTTCTTCATCGCAGACTTGAAGACACTTTCCTGATTTTCACTGGATTCCCATATGCGCTCCCCCTGAAGGTACATGATCTTCTTGTCCTTGGAGATCAATCCGCAAAGCTCTGCTGTCTCTTCGAAGATTTTCCCTTGCTACTGTACCTCCTTTTCCTCAGTCGAAGGCTCTCCTTTACCTCATCCTTTTCATTGCCAATCTTAGATTCCCTGCAAAAAAAAAACAACTTTGCTGGTTAGTAGATATTCCCATTGATACCAAAAGACTAAAGGATTAAAGTACTCATCTAAGATTGACCTAGTTTTCCCTCCTCAGCAACGTCTTCTTCATGAGATGCCTCTTCTTTATCCTCTTCGACTTTCGGCTTCTTAACCACCTTTGCAAGCCATCCTCCACAACAAATGTAGATCCCCGATCTGCCCAGTTTTGATTCCACTAACTCCCACTTGCAGGCCTTATGGCAGCGTCTGTCCAAAGGTCTATTCGACCAGCATTGACCTATAGTAGAAAAGACACCTTTATACTAGCATCGGGGTGACATTTAATGACATTGATACCATGTACACGTGGAAGTTTTTCGCTGTTTTGATAAACGCCCCCTTTATACCGTCGCTCCGTGTTCAACTTCTGCCATTCCAATCTGTGCCAGCAGTTTCCTAGGGATTTCCCATGATGATTCCATGATGATTCCGTTAATCCCATCTGGTTATGACATTCACAGTTTGCCATGGAAAGATCCACCATCTTTTTAAGAGGTAAACCCAGGTAACCCATCTATTTCGATTAGGGCCATTTTCTATGGCTATGTTTGTCATAACCAGAGGGTAATTCATCATAAAAGCAACATTCGCGTTTTGAACACTCCGAATGTGATCTCGGCAAGACACTGACCCCACCGGAGGATAGGTAGGCTCCATAGAACTGCAGGGTCCAGAAACTCAAGCGAAGCACTGCGCTTCCTCAAAGCACGGCTCGGATGGACAATTTGAGGGGCATGGGGCACGTTCAGCATTCGTGAAATTGAAGGAGCTACCCTGATGTGTGGCAATGTTAATAACTTATTATAACTGGTTGATGGTTGAGCCCTGAAAAATGATGGAGTTCGTCAGTTGGGATGATGACATTCCAAATATATGGAAAAATAAAATTCATGTTCCAAACCACCAACCAGATAAGAATATGGTGAGATATCTACACATTTGTATTTGTTTAAGGGGGAACAAGCCCAAATGTGGGTCAACCATGGTTGTTCATCCAGTTTATTGAATTGCGTGAGTGGGGTGTGTTCGGGTTTGGAAATCCAACAAGTGGTGGAACAGTTTTCTTAAATTTCAAAAATTCATTTCCTCGTTCTCCTGTACTCATGAATTTCGTGTCTCCATGTGTACCCTTTGCAAGAACATGTAAAAGCAGCCCGCAGCTGCAGCAATTTATAGCGGGCCCAAGAGTTTTGACAATTTGATCGTTTGAAATTTTCCGAATGAATGATGGATGGAAAACGAAGCTGGACATGCAACAGCAATTCGTTCATTGCTTGATGCTGCAGAATCCATAGAAGACGAAACATCAAGGGCTGCGGCGCGTAGCTACTTGCAGCAGGTCAGCCAGCTGTTTGAGACTTGTCAATCGGTTTCCTTCAATGTTGTGTGATTTTTCAAAACCAAGCCAACGTCAAAGCGTCAAGCCAAGGAATGTTAAATGACCACTTGTTCAATGTATATTTATTTACCGGTTTGCGATATCATATGTTGCTATTGAGCTGAACTACGGCTAAGACCCCAAACACCCAATGGACATTCAAAAGCTGGCTGTGTCCTGCTTTCATTGTTCGGTTTTGGGAGTTTTCATTGACTGGGCCGACTGGGTGGTTGTGACACCTGTCACGACTAGCCGTGACAAACGAAGACCAGGAGAGATCGGAACGATCTGACAACAGACATCTCAAGCATAAGAAAGGAGGAGGATGGCAGTTCACATTGGCTGGGCTGCTTGAAGCTCTGCTGACTGGAAGGTTGCTTTCCAATGCTGGGAACTTGGAAGAATGCATGAAACGATCAGTGCATTTCCTCTTGGGGCCAGAGATCGCCTCTCAGATCCAAAAAGACCTGGAGAACAAGTTTATTCGAGTTCCAAGCGAGGCTACGTTGTCCCGTGCACGATTGAAATTAGATTCTTATTTGCTCTTTGAACGAGAATTTGTAGGGGCTGCTGGATGAGATGAAGAGGGGTTCATTTTTCCGTGGGGCTGATTTCCGATATCATGGCGATGCCACATGTCAAATCACAATGTTGCATGTTGTGTTCTCGTTTCTTTTCTTTGCACTTCTGCTGGGCCACAAGCAAGGATATCCTTGCAATGAGATATCGCCAGGGACTTCTGCATCAGCACGGCCACGCTGGTATGTTCTACGTGCTGAGCAGCGATTCCAGCCCTCAGGGGAAGCTCGATTTGATGATGACTTTGGAAGACAGGATATCCCGCACAGACGCTGAAGAACTGATTGCATGTCAAGGCGACGTTGCAAAATTGGAGGAGTGGTCATCAAAGTCAAAGATCATGACAACTCAACTGCCTCTTGGTATTATAGGTAGCGGCAACTCTGGGCTTGGAGCGAAGCACGAATGCATTTTCCACCAGGTTTTGGGGTTTTGAATGAACGGCATTTGGTATCAACAAAATTGTTTGTTAGTTTGTTGCTGTAGTAGTAACTGTGGTAGTAGCTGTACTGATACACTCCCTGACTGCCAAAGACCAACAAATATTGTCCAACATGTTGTTGTTGAACATATGTGTGTGTTCGACACTTCAACGTCAACTTTAAACTTCAAACTAGATAGACTTGTCGACTTGGCAGCCCTGGGACAGGTTAAACTTGACTGCGGAAGCAAACCTGCAGAACTCGCTGCATACTGCGGCAGCGTTGTTGGATATGTTGCCGACTTTGGCACAGAATCTCAATTTACTGAGGCCAGGGTAGGAATGAAACTATCTTTCGAAAATCACAATGATTCTTGACATGTGTGCCATCTTGAATCCGAAACGGTCGATTTGAATTTCCGTTGTCATTTTCAAATTCAGTTTCCTACTCCAACATGCAATGTAGGTGTTAAATTTCCAAGTCCCTGTCAGATACCTGCCATCAACATTCAGCAACTTTTTATGAATGCCATTGAGAATTCCAATGGCGTTTTGGCAGCGAGACCTGATATTGCTGATGGGGGTGATGCTACTCAGATGGAATCCCAAGCTGCACTGTGCTACATGGAGCCTGATGCTGCTGTTGTTTCTGCAGACCAGCGCATCATTGATCTCGATGCAGATGATGCTGTTTCCGAACCCACTGCTCCCATTGTGGTGGCTGCAGGGCCTAAAGAACGTGATGTTGGCACTGTCCCTGACTCGTGGAGTCTTGGGGGGGCACTCAATGTCAATGGCTTGAAGCACATTTTTAGCAACATTTCAGGTGATATTCTGAAGCGGTGGGAAGAGTTTTCCCATTTTCAGGAAGCGCTTTCAGCAATAAACACCCTTCATTATCAAACTTTTTATCGTGACAGATTGCAGAAACTGATGAGACCACCGATGGACAAACTGTACCGGTACTATGAGGGTGGCAGCTTGATTATGTGGAGGTGGAGTTCACTGGTTGACGTTGCTGAAGCACTTCACCGCAGAGAAGGTGCTTTGCGAAGCTGTTGGAATTTGCAGGCGTTCTTGAATATTGGCCGAAACAATTCGGGGACGACGCGTGGACAACAAAAAGACGGAGCCAGGGATGACAACAGTTCAAGCACAAAACTTTTCAATGTAGCAGATCGCGCAGTACGATCTCCTTTCTTCTGGGCATACCTGCGCATGGTCATTTTGCTGCACGGACTTGTGAATGATCTTGGATCCTGGGCAGAAGGTTGCTGAGCGGATCATGTAGTTTCGAACTTTTGAGTTTATTCAAGCTCAACTCAACTCGAGCGGGTGTGAAGTAGGTATAGGTAAAGGTCCCAAGTTCTATGTAGTTCACGTCAACACGTTTGAGAATTCTGCTGACATGCCTGACAAGACAAGACAAATTAAAAAATGCAAAGTTGTCCAGATGTGAAGGGCAGTGCCAGTGGTATGCTGAAATTGTTGAATGATGTTCGTTGCAAGGCTGTGAATGCCACAATTTCTCTCGGCCTTGCTGTCTTCGTGGGCGCAGAGCCCCGGAATGTGCTGCGGGGCACTTTGATGATTTCGTCAGCCAAACAATGGCAGTGGCACAATCCCTTTTCATTGCCCTAGGGGCAGGCCTGGGGGAGACTTCGTCTGAATGGAGAAAGCTCAACAATGAATGGAACATAGGGCTGGACTGCATCATCACTGAATGCAAGATGAAATGCGCACACTGGCAGAAACTCCCATTTCTTCTTTGTGGGCTTGCCATTCGTGATGTTGAATGTGCGAAAGGCATTGCAAGAAAGGCCATAGCCCTGTTTGACGACAAGAGCAACATCGACGCCATGGCTACCTATGGGCGCCGACACCCATTGACTGCCAGATTCTTGAAGAAGGACTTCGCAGGACCTGATGCTTTAAGACCTCTTCTTGAACAATTTGTTCAGGGCGCTGATCTCTCCACTGATGAAAGTTTGGGCCCATTGCGTGCCTGGATTGGAGCTTTGAGATTGATTCGTGTGGTGGAGCGGGAGACGGAAGAATCTTGCCATGTTTTGTCAGAAGAAGTTTACATTACAGCGTGCTTTAAACTCTACTTTGGTGTACCTATACTATATTTTGTTGCCATCGGCCATCGGATTTTCTTTACTCGACTTCAGCTACTTGACTCTGACTTCTAAGGTTTATTTGTCGACTGTCGCCTTGCTTGCCGGACAATTTATACAATTTGATTTTGACTAACAGTGACAGACGCAGTCGCAGTTGACTGTTGACAGGGATAGCCAATCTTCTTGACTGCACAATCACAAACACCACCAAGGGCCTCCATAGAGGTGTGAAGCAAATTGTTACATCGACTCCCAGAGCATCAGAAGCATACATCTCCGTTGAGGGCCGGGCGAACATGATCCTCCGCACAATTGCGGCAACACCAAGTGAATCTCGGACAGGATTTTGATTTCTTGATGACTCTGAAAAGTGAATAGTATCTGTATCCGAATCAGAATTAGGCGAGAACATGATGTGATGCCGCTTTTGGACAAACATCTCAGCCTCAGACTTAAACTGATCTCCCAGAAAGAGTGATACTTTAGCCTTTAGCTGAACATTGGCTTGCATTTCCTCTTCAGGTCAGGTCTGTCAAGTCAGGTGAAATCAAATATGCTTGTACTGATGAGTCGTGTTTTCAGAATAGCTCTTCCATTTTGAGAGGACCTTGCAGACGCAGCGCAGAGCCATGCCGAGATTGACACCCATGAAGGTCTTTGCAGGGCAGTCGCAAAGTTGGTGGGTGGAGAGAAGTGTGTCTCTTGTCTTGTCAGTGTCTTCAGTGCATCAACCCCCTTTGCAGTCAGTGGCGCTTGTCTTGAACGACTAACGATGAGACCTAGACTATAACTTGAAACTAACTTGACTCAACTTAATTGGACTTGAACTTGGACTGGAGCTGTTTACTTGCAGGCCAGCTTGGTCTAGACTATAACTTGAAACTAACTTGACTCAACTTAATTGGACTTGAACTTGGACTGGAGCTGTTTACTTGCAGGCCAGCTTGGTCTGGATTGATCGCTGACTGGGCTTGACCTTGACCTTTGACTTTTACTTTGCTTTGAATGATTGTAGTGGTGGTCTTTCCAAACTGCCCGCCAGCACTGACTGGCAAGCCAGCAAGCATTGCAGTTGGTCTGAGGTCCTTGGAATGGACCCGAAAGACATCAAACACTCAACATTACTGCACTTGATCTACCAAAGAACCATCCAATTTGCTCGTGGGGCAGCCGCAGACCAAGCCATCCCACACAGCGAGATGAGATTGCTCCGTGACAACAAGAATCAACTTGCAGCTCAGGACAGAAATCGTGCCACGTCTTTGGAACGGTTCCTTGCATCCTGAAGTGACATGCCTTTTTTGGTATGAAGAATAACGTTTTCTGGGGTTTGACGGGGTTGCACTCAATAATCAAATATATGTTTTTATTACTTCCTTGCAGGGATGCTCGGTTGATGGTTTCAAACTGCGACACGAGGCTGCTTTTGGATCATTTTCGATCTATGTCAGATTATAAGAAGTTTTACTCCTTGCCACAAGATCTCTTCCAGCAGCTGTGCCCAATGTCATTGATACTGGGACTTCGTCTGGTCTTGGTTTGGTTGTTTTGCCTCCTCCCATTTAACTTCGACAGATTTGCCACCATGAATCTTTGTTGAGTCGAGTCAAGTGATTGAGTTTGGATGCCATATGCCAGTGGGATCATTGGAATTTCGGACATGTGGATGGATGAATGTCACCGTTTTGTGGTGGAGATGGTAAACTACTAGACTACTGACACATGAACCATTGAATGGGATGAATGAATGAATGAATGAATGAATGATATGAATGTTGAAGCTTCAATCCATTCATCATCCATCTATTCAAACCTTTTCCTTCGTTTATTGAGTTATTGATTGAAGAATTGTGCGGGGCTGTGGCGGGATATGGCCCTTACAAGGTCCCAGGCCTTGACACAAGGGGTTGCACCTACCCCGGGTGCTGCATCCAGTGCCGCTGCGCCTCCTCTTGAAGACAATGCAGACGGTTTCAGATCCAGGCCGTCTTTACTAACTCTACAAATACATGATGATGTTGAGGAGGCCAATGACCCAGCCGATGACGAAGTCATGATTGTTTCCGTTTCTGGTCAATCACACAACCCTGCAGATTGTGACTTGGATGGAGTTCGGGCACCCCCTGCAGTCCCAGCGCAGAAAGATGGCAAACCACTGGTCGTGTTCAAAGTGAGCCACAAGGTTACTTGGCTGACACGGCTGCTGGATCTTTTGGTGTGTAGATAATTTGACATGCCTTTCTTGTCTTGACTTGTCTTCACTGGTTGCAGCTGAGCTCAAGAAATCTTCAATGTTTGAGGCTGATGGGTTCAGGATGTCAAATCTTTCAGTTTAAGTCCCTTGTGTCAATTGATTTTGGCAGGCTCCTTCGACTATGAAAAGGCCATTGTGTGGTGTGGACAACATTCGGCATGGTGATGTGTGTGCAAATCTATGAAGCATTTCAGGTTGCCGGGCATCCTGAAAACTGTTTTCAGCTTTGCCGGCCGTCAGACACTGACAATATCCAGCTCATTCGTTTTCTTGGTGCTGCCTCTCGGGAAGATCCAACTAGAGATTCCGCAGTTATGCAAAAGCTTTTGGTCTGGGACCACGTAGGTTCAGTGCCAACTGATGTTCGCACCCTGACATTTGCCCTGGAGACTGACTTTGCCGTTAGCATTGTCGAAGACATGGTGGCTGCAAGGGCTTTCGTTGGCAGTGGCAGGTCGTTCGAATTTTATGGAAGTGAAGGAGAGATGAGAAACATGGTTGAGCTTGAGAACAAGGGCTATGTGCAGCGGGCAGCAGATTCAGACGGCACTGCTTCCGAATCCCGTTGGTACTTGACCCGCAAAGTTGCTTCACTGTTGGAGGCGTACTGGCCGGAAAGGTGTAAGTTTCATATGTGTTTCCACACCTGCCAGGTGGGTGAGGGTCTCGCGATTTGATCAGAGTTTCTTCGCTCCTTCCTTCCTTCCTTTCTTTAATTCCTTCCTTCCTTTGTTCCTCTTCGTCCTCCTTCCTTCCTCCTCCTCCCAACAGGGAGCTCCAGATCTCAGTGGGCACTGCCGGACCTCAACTGCAAGCTCCAGATCTCAGCGGGCACTGCCACGGCGAGCTCCAGATCTGCCGGACTTAAATGCAAGCTGCAGATCTCAGCGGGCACTGCCGGACCTGAAACGATGAGCTCCGGATCGCACTGCCAGACCTCAACCGCAAGCTCCAGATGTCAGTGGGGAGTGCATGACCTCAACACATGCCAGAGAGAATGTTAGAATAGATGCCAGATAGAACGCCAAACCAGAATGTCAGATAGAATGCCAGAAAGAATGCCAGATAAGAATAGAATGTCAGAAAAGATGCCAAATAGAATGCCAGACAATGTCAGACAGAATGCTAGATCGATCTCGGATATTAGAATAGAATGCCAGAATAGATGCCATTTAGAATGCTAGAAAAGAATGTCATACACAATGCCAGATAGAATGCCAGAATAGAATGTCAGAAAGTATATACCACAGCTTCCAGGTGATACGTCAGAAATTGTGACAAAATTACTTATCAGGGTAGGGATCACTCGAAGTAAAGCATGTTTTTTTGTAGTTGCCCAGGTTTATGGTTTGGGGTAGTTGCTGCGGCTACGGGTTTCGGTTTCCGCTCTCAGAGGACTGAAAGTTATATTTTTTGATTTTGTCTTGAACTTGATAGGTGAGACCGCAGATTGGGAATCCCAAGCCCCTGTTCTTCCCACGTCATGGTGTTGCCCTCGAAAACAAGACCACCTTGGAGTTGATGCGAGAATTGATCTTCCAGGGCTTTGACTTGATCGAAAACCCTATGGAAATTTTGAAGAACAAGAAGCAGCCCTACACAAACCAAAGAGGATGTGGGTAAATAGGGGCCCGCCCATGTCCAATGTCGTTTTTTTGTTTCATGCCACACGTGACACATGATGTTGTATTTTATACATGCAAGTTGAAATCGATAGATATATCATATTGCAAGCTGCATCTTCATGAATGAGTTGAATGAACTGGACGAATTACTGGTTCCTTTGGGTCGGTGTAGTAGATGACAGCCGGGTCCAGTTTCAATTGTTGCTGCTTGTTCTTTGTACAGGGGTTGCCGTTGCCTTGGACCAGGAAGCAGAAAAGTTATGCTTGGCCAGCCTCACAGAGACTACCTTCTGGCTTTAGCATCGGCACCACGATTGTTCTCTGCTGGATGTGAGGGCATTCACCATATGCAGCTCGTTTCCTATTACCGTGCTCTCGTCATGGCCCCTAATGACCAAATTCGGTTGATTCTACCTGGTCAAAGCGCCGCTTGGTACAAGAAGTTTTTCTGCGAAGATGACGCCGCTGAAAAAGAAACCAGTGCACTGAGACTCAGTTGAACTTCAGTTTGCAGAATTGTGTTAGTTGTTGACTGTTGGTCTTTCCTATTCCCTTCCGTTCTGTTTTCGGACTCCAGTGTTATGATGTTTGCTTAGCCAGTCGGTGGTAGACTCGGCTAGGTGATTTGGTTGGGGTATCAAACCTATCATGCCCTGATGCATTGCAGGATGCTCATGTTGGACGATGCAGCGGCAGAGGAAGGACTTAAAAATACCGATCCCAATGAGTTGTTCGACGAAATCCCCGGCACCATGAATGATGAGCAGCTAGCAGAGCAGTTCAATGCAGCAGTTCTGGCTGGCCATGAACTTGAAATGGGCCAGGAGGCCCCTTCAAAAAGAAGCCGCGGGGCAACGGGACCTAGATCCAAGAGATCCACATCAATGCTCAATGAAAGCACAATTTGGTTTGGAAGGACTCCGTTGGTGATGAGGACTGATACACCAGCAGCTTGGTGAAGCTGCAGTTGTTATGGATGAACCTGTAGCTACCCTGAGTATCTTCCCCAGAAAATGCTGGCTACTTTATGTTTGAACCAGGATCAGGGATCGTTTCCTTAAGTCCTAAGTTTCTTGCCGGGTATGTTTCCTGATTTTGAGTTTAGTCTTCGCCATTTAGTTTTGACAATTGTTGAAAGGATGTGGTCCGGTCTTGGCTCCTGGCGACTGGACTGTATGACTGTACTGACCCTTCGCCAGGTTCCCACATACTATGTCTACTGCCGTGTGCACAGATCATTTGATGGAAGATTATGTTGTCGCAAAGACCTCCAAACCAACCGACCGAGCAAAGATGTTGCTATCCGCAAGCTCAAGTATTGGTTGTGCTTAGGCGGGTGCTGGTGGGTACCCTGATGATGATCGGAGATGGTTGATGTTTTTTTGAGGCCTGACATGACAATGAGGCCTGAAAACATGCATGAGTTGCCAACACCATGCAAACTCACTGAAGACTGACGATCATTTGCTTTAAGTACATGGGTCAATCAGATTAATTAGGTCACTTTTTGAAAGGTGATCAATGCTGACCAGACCGGACACGATGACGCAGGTGCCAAGATGAGGCCGGATGACCCTGACAACGAAGACAGCGTCAATCGGACAGTGGCCAGGCACAAACGAGCTGAATCTGGGCCAAATAGCTTTGCCCAGGAAGACCTCGCTGTGTTTCTGCCTCAAGGGTTTTGAATTTTGAATCAGGATCCTGGGTTGCCGGCCTTGAATTTTAAAGGGGTAGCAAGTTGCAATGTAAAGCTTGAAACACGTGCTGTTGAAACAAGAGTGGGACTTGGACGTGTTCATCACGATAAAATTTTGGTGGTTGGACCATTGAAAGCATTCGCTGACTCAACGCTTGTCAGCCCAGGAGTTGCCTGATGGCGCCAATCTTCCGTCCCACACGCAGCTAGACCAGACATGGGCACAGTTGGAAGCAGAGTTGGGCCTTGCTTGAGATGCCCTTCTCCTTTGAGCCTGAATATGGAAAGATCAGCTTAGTCCGTTGCCGCGGAGCCAGTCGATCCGAATAAGTAAAATGTTGTTGCCCAGCTGCTTGCTGTTTAGGCCAACTAGTTACCCAGCGTAAATGTTTTCAGTCAGGGTGAGGGTAATTTACATGTACAGAACGTTGCCAGTGCCTTTACAAAGTGGATGATTTCTACTTCTACTTTAGCAATCTCTGAGTCAGATCAGGCATTTTTCGTCTTCAATCATTCGGATTGTTTGAATGGAAGAAGAAAATCAAATTCAGTCAGTACTTGCTGACTTATTTGAGCCTTGCACTTCATTGAGGACTAATTCAGCACTTTCCATGCGTGAGTTGTCGCTCCATGGTGCGTTTGATTTCATTGATGTCGTGACCTGGCGTGGCTGGTGTGATACTCTCATATCAGGTGAGTTAGATTTGCTAGGCCACCTGTGATATAGTCAAACTTAGCTGTGGCAATGCCGCTTTGCAAAACGTTTCAAGTGGTGGAAGCCGCCGCAGCGCAAGCAGCACGGAGAATCTCAGAGCAGTTTGAGGAAGAGTTTGTCAAGTACAACCGCTGGTGCGTCTTGAACGAGCGGCAAAACTTCGCCCTTCACAAGCAGCAATTTGAGATGCACCGTGAAATGATTGACATGAGGGAGAAGGTCACTGAACTCACCCACATGGTGAATGAACAGAAGAAAGAGTTGATTCAATTGATGACAATGATGAAAAAACAAAAGGCTCCGGCAAATCGCTCTGGCGCCACTGCTCGATCTTCGGCCATCGCCCCGGTCGCAAAGACCAAGGCAGCCTCCGCCAAAGCAATGGCCATGAGTGGTGCAGCCAAAGTGAAGAAGGACAAAGTCAATGCAAAAAAGGCCCAGATGAAATCTTTGCAGAAGCCCCAGCGCGCAGTCATGATCAAGGAGAAGAAGGAAACGCAGAAGGCAGAAAAGATTACCAAAACCAAGGTATCCAAAGAGGGTGTGCTCAACAACGTTGGCAACCTTGGCTCTTTCCAGTGCAAAGCGCCTCAGCGATCCTTTGGGCCGTTGGTGATTCCAGGTGAAGCAGACTTGACCCCTTCTCCACCTCGCGGTGGAGATTTTACCAACTTTTTTTGATGGTCAGCCGGCTGAATTTGAATTTGGTTTCCAAATTCAGTGGCATGCGGTGGCATTGGCATTTGGCCATTTTGGCATCAGCTTGTTTGGAACAGCTAATCCACATGCCTGATATAGTGCTGCGTGTGTGCTTTCCACGGCTGAAGAAATTCAAGCGTTCGTTTGCTATGGCTGACCAATTAGCTTTAGCAGCTTTCAACAGAAACTGGGGGTTGTTGCCGCTCCTGCTTTGGGGATCAACTTTCCCAGAAGCTTGCAGGTGCTCGTTGCAGACACCGCTATTGTGGGAAATGTGACCTCCACCAGCCAGTGACAGACTTACATTCAGAGCAACCTCAAAACCTCTTTCATCTTAGGTAGCATGCTTTTCTCAAGTGAGAAGGTTGGACCCAGTCTGACAGACTGACTGGGATTGGGACTCGTGACTCGGGACTAAATCAAAAAAACAAATCACACCAGTCGATCATATTATGAAACGGATACTGACAACATGATCGAATGAGGTCATCACCCTCGCTTCGTCCCATTGCGAAGTCATGTGCCAAATTGAAATCGCTTTCACTTTTTTCACTCATCTCGTTTCACTGGAGTGAGCAGCCTGCCATGGCGAAGACGAAGGCTTCCCGTAGTGCTGCGGCTGGCAAAAGCAAGGCAAAAGGTAGGAAAAGACAGAAAGCAAGTCATGCTAGTGCAGATGGAGCAAAGGTTTCGGATGGATTTCCGGAACAAAAGAAAGACGACGAGCAGCACCATGCAGAGGGAAATGCTCCCAGTTCCGGTGATGACGGCACGGCTGGGGAAGCTGTAGCAAAAAAGAAGAAGGTCAACTCGAAAAGACCACGTGCATCAAAATCAGCCGGAAAGAAAGCTCCAAAGGCGAAAGCAAAGGCCCGATCCGGTAGAAAGAAAAAGGCTGACGCTGATGAGAACCCCTTTCTACAACCTCCTCCACCTGGACAGCAGTGCATTTCCCTTTCGACCAGTGGCCTCGAAGTGACCGAGCCAAAGCCGTCAGTTGAAGGTGAAGATGATCCAACAGATGCGGATCGTGACCGAGATCAAGAAGACCCAACACGATCGGAAAAAAGTCCCGTGTCGTCGTCCTCATCCAGTTCCACGTCCAGTGAATCACAGAAGTCCCCAGAAAAGTCTTGCTTGCAGTTTGAGAAGGTTGGTTTGTCGGATGATGAGGTGACAGAGTGGGTTGACAAGAACGGAGACGTTTACGTTCGCCATGGTGACTTTGACAGTGTCTTGGACGTTGAGCTACTTTTGAGTTTGGCATCCAGTTTTCTTTGGAGAAAGAACTCATTCAATCAAACTTTGACGCAGTTTAGATGCAATATAGTTGCTCGAGACAAGCTGCTGCAAAGTTTAAGTTTCCTTAATCAAGCCATAAAGTGCTGCCCATCAGCCCTCAACGTTTGCTTTTGTTGGCTAAGGTGAAGCTACCCTGGTCACTTCCGAGATTGACCATGAGGCGGTGACAGATCTTCGTTCCATGTTCTCATTTGCAGAGAGGAGTGTGAAGCGGATCTACAGTATCCTGATTTGATTTTGGCTTCGCCGCCTTATTTTGGTAACTCGTGCGTGTGTGAGAGGGTCAGAGGGTAGGTGGTAGTGGTTGGCCCTCCTCGTCCCTGTGAAATGGGTTCACTGTATATCAGTTGGATCTTCGATCTTTTTGTTTCCATGGCAACTCCCATCAATCCTTCAACTATAAGACTAAGATGGTCCGCCATCACCGCTTCACCACAAGCAAACCTTCAGGCCACTTTGGCCGGGATAAATTTGAGAACCTTGTGGCGAATACGGATGACTTGGTTCTTTTGAGCTTGTACGCTGGCTTGGGTGGAGCTGAGCTTTCTTTGGGGATGCTTCACAAGTCGGTGACGAAGGAGCTGAAGCATCTTCACGACAAGGATGATTTCTTATGGATGGAGAGCCCCAAGAAACCTTTCTTCTTTGCATCCTGCGACGTGGATGGCGCATGTCAGAAGGTCCTTGATCAACACAAGGACCCGTCGGTATACATTGTTGCTGACATCCTGGATTTCATCAAGCCAGAGACCCTTGCACATATGGAGAACCTGGTAGCTACTGCAAAGAAGGAGTTGGCAGCATTGAAGGGACAGGAAAAAGCGCAGGCAAAAGCGCACGCCAAAACTATGGCCAAGGCCAAAGGACAGAAAGTGCGTGGGCGTGGGCGCGGGCAAAAGTCCAGAGCAAAGCCACGCAAGTCAGATGTTGATGCAGTGCCATCGGATGGTAGTGAGTTTCTTCGTTCCAGAATTCAGATGTCGCAGGATGTTCTTTTTGCTCACGATAAATTGCAATATATATATAATATATTTATGATATATATATATATATATATATTATATATATATATATACACAATTTCATACATTTTTTGTATGAAGGAATGATTATAGCGCTTCCGTTGAATCCTTCAAGGTTGACTAACGAAGTGTCGGTTGAGCCTAATGTAGTGCAAAGTTAAATTGTATAAGGTCATGCGAAGATGGTGGGGGCGATGATGGTGGTCCCAGTGCCATGAACCCCTCAAGGACATTGGTGAAAAGTTGCTGACAGAGCTACTTGCTTGTCTTGAAGATGAGTGTGCTTTCCGCAAGTTTGCCCCCGTCAAAGGTGGAAAGACAATGCAGATGCAGAATTTGCGCGCGGTCGTCAAGCGCTTGATCATGATGCAGGGTAGTGTTTGCAAGGACTGGAGCTCGATGAATCAATCTCGCCAAGAACTTCTTGGAACGTACATACTACCCTTCGCATGCAGTTTGGGTCTTGCACGATTTCTCAGTCCCATGGCATTTCTTCACGAATGCACACGCTTGTTCAGACCAGCCATCCTCCAGAAAGTGTTTCCGGAGTTTTCGCTGCACCATTCGTTGCTGGATCCTCAAGATTTTGGCTTTCCAGTCAGGAGATCAAGAGCATACACAGCACTGGTTAGGCCAGACTACGTCATGACCATTCCAAGTGATCAGATCAAGAGGCTATTCAGTCCTTGTCGTCTCAACTGCGGCATTTTCTTTCAGGCCACTGATGAGGAGGTGAGATTTCAGTTGCCAACGCTAACGTTCTTGACTAACTAGTTGCTAAACTGTTTAAATCTGTTCTTGTTCAGTGCCATCATATTAATGACTTGCTGACTTGCCCCTGGTGAAGATGTTGATGAAATGTAACCCTTCCCCTCTCATTGAATTTTGACCTTTCGTGAACCACTGATGATTGATGACTCAAGACTGTCCCTGCTATTCCCTGAAGGTTGGGGATATGAAGCGGTCCATGGCGGCTGTTCGGTTGAAACCGCAGAGCTCCAGCTTCCGTGAACTGCTGCCACCACAAAGTCAGGTAGGCATGGGCTGAAGATATTACACGATATGTATGAGCAAGGCCTGAAAAAAACAGAAAAACTTCCACAGTTCACACGTAAATAAAAAGAAAATACCAATACTAGAATAATGTTGAACGGATATGAAAGGAGGAAGGCCAAATCACGTCCGAAATGAAATTCGATTACCAGATGATATTGGACATGGACATAGGAGAAGGATTTATAGCCTACCGTCTATGGTATTTGTCAGCGTGCCAGAGAACCAGAGAAGAGGTGACAGTGGCAAATTCATGATTTCCCAGCACTCTGCTTCAGGTCAATTTGCTTCAGATAGAGAGAATGCCTTGGGTCCAAGCAGCTTTGGGCAAGACACAAGAAGTTGGTTGCAATTTAGACCAGGACCCGTCGTTTGCAGAGCACTGTGGAACGATTCTACCAGTCGTTCTTGCATCCGTGTCCAATATGTATCTTGGCTCAGCTCCTGGTTTTCTGATTGCGGATTCTTTAGTCTCGGATTCAGATGTTTCAGCAGACAGATGCAAACATGATATTGCAACTCATGACCTGTGGTGTTGTACTGGCTTCACTAGCTTGTTACATGTTGATGTCTTAAGTTGGTAGAGAGGTTTCAGCTGGTGTGGTCCAAGTCAGCACTGGAGTCACCGTTGGGTCCTCCTATACAACTATAAACCCTATCTTATAAACGCCTTGCAGTGCCTTGAACTGAAAGTGCCTTGCAGGTATGGTTGCTTGCGAGAGCGTGTGATGCATCCCAATGAGCTGCTGCTGGCGCAGGGCATCCCGGTGTACCCTGATGTCGCAGCAGCAGCCGGTTTTGAAGATGGGGTGCCTGTCAACTTCAAGGGTGTGAGCGATGCTCAGAAGCGTCGCATGGCTGGGAACTCGTTCCAGCAAGCATGCTCGAATGGATTGATGACATTCGTGTTGGCATCGATGCACAAGAAGTGAGGAAGGACATATTTTGCTTTGATGAGTTTTACGCACATGACCCAAAGTTAATCCAGCACAGGGAATAGATATGCCACAGTTTTTTGGTGGTATTCACGACATCGATATAACTGGAATAATGAACTTAATGAACTGTGACACTGACACTGGCGTCATTTTTTTTACGTGGCCACAAAGTCACAACTTACAAGATCAAGATCAGAATCAACAATGATTTTGTTGTTTCCGACAGACAGGAACTGACATGACTGAGACTTAGATGAACTTCCTGGTGAAACATCTTATCAAAAGAGCTGTCTTGATTTTGGAAAGTACCCTTAAGGTTCCCGAGGCATCGCCAAACGGAAGGGTTGCTGGAATGACATGTTGATATTAACTGTGTAGGGAAATTTGTGAAAAGGTTTGGGGTTTGAATCGTCAAAAATCTTGACGAACTGAGATCGACCCTTTGAAAACCCATATTGTCTCCTAGACATCTTAACATGTCTCTCAAGACATCTTGACTGAAAAAAACAAATGTTTCTCAATCATCTTAGCATGTTTCCCAGACATCTATGACTGTCTAGTGTTTGGCAGGCCTGGATGGACAGTGGTCATTTCTTGGTGGTTGATTAAATAAGGTAAAACACATGCCAAATTTGGCTCAAGTAAACATTGATCCAAAATACCAGCATTGTCTTCCTTTCCCTCCCTAAATCAGGGATTTTGACCCACCCTGTTATCAGGTCCCCTGTGGGGTAACCTTATACCTTGAAGTCTGCGCTGCAGATGGGGTCTTTGCGCAGGACACTGCGAATTCCCACATTGGAGGGATGTGAACAAATAATAGATATTTGGATGTGCTCCAGCATGCCTTAGCCTGACTGAAACAGGATCAGCAGGGCTGATGGATCTGTGGGCATGCCCAACGCATTGTCCCTGCAAGCGATACAGGTTGGAAGACAATACGAGAAAGTTAGTTGAAAACAGGAGCGTGTTTGCTGACGAGTGAGGTCAGGTGACAACTCACTTAACTTATATTCCAACCTTTTAAGGAATGTTAACATGTTTCCCAGGCATCTTACCATCTCTCCCAGACATCTTAACATGTCTCTCAGACATATTACCGGGAAACATGTACCAAGATGTCTCTGAGACACCTTAACATGTCTCCCAGACATCTCAAAATGTATCTCAGACATCTTGCCTCAAGAAAAAACAAGGCCAAGATCAAGATCTCTCCCAGAGAATTTAACATGTCTCCCAGACATCTTAACATGTCTCCCAGACATCTTGACATGTCTCTCAGACATCTTGCCTGGAAAAAAGGGCAAGATGTCTCCCAGAGATCTTAACATGTCTCCCAGACACCTTAACACGTCTCTCAGACATCTTTCCTGCAAAAAAAGCCAAGATGTCCCCCAGACGTCTTAACATGTCTCTCAGACATCTTGCCTGCAAAAACAAAGGCAAAGTTGCCTCCCAGACATCTCAACATGTCTCTTAGACATCTTGCCTGGAAAAAAAAGGCAAAGATGTCTCCCAGACATCTTAACATGTCTCCCAGGCATCTTCACATCTCTCTCAGGCATCTTGCCTCAAAAAGACAGGCCAAGATCTCTCCCAGACATCTTAACATGTCTCTCAGACATCTTGCCTGAAAAACAAAGGCCAAGGTGTCTCCCAGACATCTTAACATGTCTTTCAGACATCTTAACATGTCTCTCAGACATCTTGCCTGGAGAGAAGAGACAGGGTGTCTCCCAGACATCTTAACACGTCTCTCAGGCATCTTGGCTGGAAAAAAAAACAGGTGTCTCCCAGACATCTTAACATGTCTCCCAGACATCTTGCGTGGAAAACACAGGCAAGATGTCTCCCAGACATGTCAGCATGTCTCTGAGACATCTTGCCTGGGAAAAAAAGGCCAAGATGTCTCCCAGACATCTTAACATGTCTCCCAGACATCTTGACATGTCTCCCGGATATCTTGCCTGGAAAAACAGCCAGTTTGTCTCCCAGACATCTTAACATGTCTCCCAGACATCTTAACATGTCTCCCAGACATCTTAACATGTCTCTCAGACATCTTGCCGGGAAAAATGTGCCAAGATGTCTCCCAGACATCTTAACATGTCTCTCAGACATCTTACCGGGAAAAATGTGCCAAGATGTCTCCCAGACATCTTAACATGTCTGGGAGACATCTTGTTTTTTTGTGTTTTTTTGGTGCGTTCCACCACTTATTTTTAGTGCAAAAAAGTGCTTCCACCACTTATTTTTTGCCACTTTCGGGTGTTCCACCACTTCTGAAAACCAAAAAAAACTGCAAGATGTCTGGGAGACATCTTCAGATGTCTGGGAGACATGTTAAGATGTCTGGGAGACATCTTGGCACATTTTTCCCGGTAAGATGTCTGAGAGACATGTTAAGATGTCTGGGAGACATCTTGGCACATTTTTCCCGGCAAGATGTCTGAGAGACATGTTAAGATGTCTGGGAGACATGTTAAGATGTCTGGGGGACACTTTGGCATTTTTTCCAGGCAAGATGTTTGCGAGACATCTTGAGATGTCTGGGAGACATGTTAAGATGTCTGGGAGACATCTTGGCTGTTTTTCCAGGCAAAATATCCGGGAGACATGTCAAGATGTCTGGGGGACATGTTAAGATGTCTGGGAGACATCTTGGCCTTTTTTCAAGGCAAGATGTCTGAAAGACATGTTAAGATGTCTGGGAGACATGTTAAGGTGTCTGAGAGACATTTTGGTACATTTTTCCCGGCAAGATGTCTGAGAGACATGTTAAGATGTCTGGGAGACATGTCAAGATGTCTGGGAGACATCTTGGCTTTTTTTTCAGGAAAGATGTCTGAGAGACGTGCTAAAATCTCTGGGAGACATCTACGTCTTTTTTCTAGGCAAGATGTCTGAGAGACATGTCAAGATGTCCGAGAGACATGTTAAGATGTCTGGGAGACATCTTGGCAACTGTTTTTCAGGCAAGATGTCTGGGAGACATGTTAAGATGTCTGGGAGACATGTTGAGATGTCTGGGAGACATGTTAAGATGTCTGGGGGAAATCTTGGCATTTTTGCAGGCAAGATGTCTCAGAGACATGCTGACATGTCTGGGAGACATCTTGCCTGTGTTTTCCAGGCAAGATGTCTGGGAGACATGTTCAGATGTCTGGGAGACATGGTAAGATGTCCGGGAGACATCTTGGCACATTTCCCCAGTAAGATGTCTGAGAGACATGTTGAGATGCCTGGGAGACATGTTAAGATGTCTGGGAGACATGTTAAGATGTCTGGGAGACATCTCGGCATTTTTGCAGGCAAGATGTCTGGGAGACGTCCATTTTTTTCAAGGGAAGATTTTTGAGAGACATGACAAGATGCCTGTGAGACATTCCGTGTTTTCTGGGAGACATGATAAAATGTCTGGGAAACATGCCAAGATGTCGGGGAGAAATGTTAAGATCCCTGGGAGATATGTTGGCCTTGTTTTCCAGGCAAGATGTCTGAGTCTGTGAGGCAATTTGGCATTTTTTTCAGTCAGGATGTCAGGAGAGACATTTTAACGATGTTTGGAGGAGAGACACCTGGCCTCAAACTTTGAACAAATGCCTGGTGAAACCGCTGAAGGTGTTTTGCTGTGTCATTTTTCTGCAACGGCAATCAGCAATAGGAAACATATTTTAAGATCCCCGGGATCTTGTCTGAAACAAGAGATGTTGTTCTTTTCATTCTTCAGGGTTTTGTCTGATCTGCAAGAAGTTGGATGAAATAAATTTGCATGTGAAAAATAATCAGTCAAAAACTTCAGCGAAACACTTGATACTACAGCACTCACTGACCTTTGGGCCCTTTGGACTTGGTGGGGTCTTAAATTTAAAACTTCCCGAGTGTCTGATCCTGAGTACCCCAGAAAGCATTCAAGTACTTGGGGTATAATTTGCGGGTTTAACTACCAGTAGATTTTCAGACGTCCTTGGGTCTGTAGCGTCATTCTGTGAATTGAATGGTGGATTCAACGCTGAGCATGAGCAGCGGTGAGGAGATCACACTCAACAGGTGAAAAAACGTTCGGAAGACCATGTCGCTCGTGGCGGTGTCAAGGACATGGCAGAACTTGGAACCGTGTCGGGGAAAACGGCTTGTGTGCGAAGCTGGACGCTGTAACATTGTCTGAGGTGTAAGAACCTGTGTGAATTTCACAATCACAATGCTCCCAAATATTGGCAATGAATCAATGAATGCAGCTTTTGAAGAGAACACAAGTTTCGACAATGATTGGCAGCGTCATTGAATCTCGATGTCCATTGTTTTCCTTACCTTTGTCTTCCAAGATTGCAAGGTTTCCTTGTGCAGATTTGGATTGTTTCCTCTTGGGCTTGTGAACTTACTGGGAAGTGAAGCTGAATCGACAAAGGACAAAGGTTGTTGCTGAAACTGTTGAAGCCCATGCATCGGGATCTGAAACATTGTAAAACCTAATTGTGGAAATTCAAGCGAAGAAATTCCTTCTTCTAACAGAAGCAATGTCAAAATAATGCGAGCTGTCCGCAAGTGTTTAGGGGATCAAGTCTGGACACTCAGCTACACGCTATGGGCTCTAAATTTCAAGCCTGTGTGGACTTTTTGCAGAGTGTGGCAGGGGACAAGGCCTGCTGCGTGTGCTACTGGGCCTACTTGAAAGGCTTCTTGGACCATGAATCGCAGCATTCTCTCTATGCGGTGGCAGGTGACTGCAGATGTGATTGGTCTTCGTCTTCCTCTTCTTCTTCAGAGTGGCCAGCGTCTTCGACTCAGAGCTCTGCGGGATCTACTTCTTCTGACGGATTACTTGAAGAACCTGAGAGCGCATAGACTGATACTTGATTTCAATCTGAGGGTATCACAGTGAAACCTGATCCTGATAACCTCTGGTGCTTTGACATTCGACTTTCGAATTTTGAACCATTTTTGTTGGGCCATGCACCTTGCAGGACCCAGCAACTAGCCAAGGGATAATTGCC